TTCCGCCTCATGCTAGCCTCAGCAATGGTACCACCACGCTTTGTCAATTCGGCGTAATACCTCTCTCAGCTGCTTCGAAGACTGGTGACCAGCCCGTCGTCCGTTCTTCCTCTGCTGACTCTGCGCTCCCGCTCATCTCCGGTGCGCTGGTGCAGGCACGGCAGCTGGCGTTGACCGTCGCCCAACAGGGAAACATGTTTTGGTCACCACTACCTCAAACATGTTGCCCCTCCATCACGGCGCTCGGGCAATTTGGCTATGGCATGACCCGCACGCAACAGCTCAAGCTCCTCCACCAGGCAAGTGGGGTCCATCAGGTAAGGTAAAGTAGGTATGGCAGGGCAAGGGCGGGCAAGGGAGCTCGATGACTTACATGTGCAGGCTGTTCCACAGGTCGTGATACACACTGGGCAGAGAAGCAGTTGAAATGACAAGAGGAAAGGGGAGAAGGAAGTTTACGGAGAGGGCGGGGTTCACGGCCGCTTTAAAGGCTCGTCCAGCATTGCCCCCCATTTCCCCATTCCATCACGATTTCGCATACAAGTCGTTGGATTTGCCGAATAGTTCGCCCAGCTGCAGCCGACGGGACGGTATCGGGCACCTCGACGGAAACATGCGGGACGGGCTCCGTCCCGAACGAATTGCATCTACACCTTCGACCACTCCTCTGCAACACGATTACCGAGATAGTCTGCAATGCCAATAATACGTAATGTTTGCCGGCCAACGGCGAGATTCATCATGCGGTGAAGCAGTCGCAGCATAAATGATGATACGGACCGTCTCACTTGGCTGGCGGTCAACGCATTAACATGCAACATTGATCCTCGTCTACAAGGGCTCGTCACGTATCAGGAGAGATCATGATCTGATCCTAACCTTATCAACCGCGCCCCCATGCCCACGCAAACCAGCACGGACCGGGACGGGCCAGGGAGCGCGGGAGAATTGTTACATGTTAGGCAGCTCATCCCAATGCGCATAGCCAACCACGCAACAGCCCATTGGAGGCATCTGATGTGCTGATTCGCGAGCAAACCTATTCGCCGCGGCATGGACGGTCCAGGTCTTACCAACGTACTCGGCCATCTAGGCGAATGCATCTCCGGACTGATGGCCGATTTGCCGCGTGACCATATCGAGATTGTTCATTTACGAAACCCCCACTAAGAACTAGCAACAGACCTAACCAGCTCCTCCGTCTCTCCGGGTGGAAAGGCTCTTGGCCAACCATTGCATTTCCCGGTAGGCTTCAAATGAGTTTAAATAAGAAAGATTGTAGTTGATTCCACCAATTACTCGCTACCCTCGTTCTAAGACATGCGGAATAGTAGCGGCCAGCTGGGCCAATCGGGTGGCTCAATTTGTGCTTAGTCATCCCTTTTTTTGAAGCTTGTGATGCATGATGGCAGCCAGAATCTTTTTAAACCAGCAGTCTCATAAGATGACCCAAGTCCGGCATGACCACAGAATCAACAGCCGGGGGGCTTTTTGGTCTTGATGCCTTGCTCGACAATCCGGTCTTTGCGGGAGGCTTCGGCCTTGCCTCCCTCGGCTTCGCAGCCGCATTTGCCCGCAAAGGAGCCATGGTAGCTGCCGCAACAGCACGACGCCGTCTCCTCGTAAACGTCGAAATCAGCAAGCAAGACCCCGCATACCCTTGGATTCTCGCATGGCTCTCACAACCTCGCGAGAACCCTGGCTTCATTGCCTCTCGCCTAACCCGCATCCACGACCTGTCCGTGACGACAACGACAGCTTCCCAGGGCCCTCCAGGGACCGGCGGGCCGAGCTCTGCGTCCTTCTTCCTGCAGCCCGGATACGGCCGACACATAGTCAAGCATGGAAGCGCATACATTGCCGTCAATCGCGAGAAGCACAATACTGCCAACATGAACACCGGCGAGCCCCACGAAATCGTTCAGCTCACGACGCTCTGGGCGCACCGCCATGTTTTTGAGGAAGTTTTCAGCGAGGCCCATCGCCTTGCGGCAAAGGCGAATGAGGGCAAGACAACGGTGTTCTCAGCCAGAGGGATGGACTGGGCCCCTCTCGGTGACCCCAGGAAAAAGCGGCCTCTGGGTTCGGTGATTCTGGATGAGGGTGTCAAGGAGAGCATTGTGGGCGATGTGCAAGATTTCCTGTCGAGACAGCAGTGGTATGTCGATCGCGGAATCCCCTACCGACGAGGCTACCTACTGTTCGGCCCTCCTGGAAGCGGGAAAAGTTCGTTCATCCAGGCGCTAGCAGGCGAACTTGATTTCAGTGTTGCCATGGTCAATCTGAGTGAAATGGGAATGACAGACGACAAACTAGCACTTTTGCTGACCAAGCTCCCCAAACGAAGTCTCCTCCTGCTGGAAGATGCCGATGCAGCCTTCGTAAACCGCCGGCAAAGAGATACGGACGGCTATAGCGGTGCTACGGTCACCTTCTCAGGGCTACTAAATGCTCTAGACGGTCTCGCAGCCGGCGAGGAGCGCATTGCTTTCTTAACTACCAACCACATCGAGCGTCTGGACCCAGCTTTGATCCGGCCAGGTCGTGTTGATATGATGCTTCGCATCGGCGAGGCTACCCGATTCCAGGCTGCTCAGATGTGGGATCGATTCTACGGTGATGTAGATCTGGATCACTCCAACCGCGAGCGCTTCCTCAATCGCCTCGATGAGTTGGGCCTATTTGGAGTAAACCCAGACGGAGAACCCTCCCACCGACATACAAGTACGGCTGCTATCCAGGGCCTCTTCCTCTTCCATAAGTCTGATATGCAGGGATCGATTGACATGGCGGAGGCTTTGATCCCTCGTAAGTACGAGGCGGGAGACGCCGTGCCTGAGGGCGCGATTAAGACTCCCGCTTAAACATTCTCGCTTGCATATTATCTTGGATTTTCAAATTACATATCTTGTATCATTATCATGTATATCACTAAAGATACCCATCAAAAAGGAATGATGAAATGGAGTATGGAAATAGAACTACATGTTTACGCCCAGAGCCTGGGTTTTTTCCCATATTGCAACTCACAGAGCAAATGCCAGTTATGCGTCTTGAATGTTTTTTTGTCCTGTTCAAGGACTTGGAATTGTCGTTCATGAAAATGCGCCTAGCTGAGTCCTAGTTGCTGCCTGAATGAACAGTCCTTGGAGATGAATCCTTAGTATGGCTGCGGCTGAAGCGGCGTGACTAATTCAGCTCAACGTTCATCGTACATGCTCTTTCCTACTTGAACAACAGCATCCTCAACCAACTTACCTCAAAGATTTCATCTCTCTTTTCTCATTATTTCAATATTTCATGAACAAATATCATCATGAATTCCAAAGAGTCAAGCGATAAAGTCCAACGAACACTGGACTCATGGTTTTCAAAGAGCGGCGCCAGTAGCAGTTCAAATAAGACGACCACCACCTCCGCGCCTGCATCAACATCACAGTCCAAGCCAGACAGCAAAACCAAGTCTACGGCTTCCACTGGGGGTTTCCGCGAGAATACGCGCCGAAGGACTGATCTCGCCGCCATCGCCAAGGAGACGAGGACCGTCCTTCCAGACATCCTACCTAAAATCCCAAACGTGCAGGCCAGCAAGTCAGAGGCGCTGTACCTCTCTACTCTACCCGCCCTCAAAGCCGCGGACTGCCCCAAGCGCAAGCCCGCAGGAAGCACGGCCATCCGGATCGTCAACGAGGACACCTTCAATGCGGCCATCGAGCTCGCGAAGCAGTGCCCCGACGGCGGCCGCGTCGCCGTGCTAAACATGGCCAGCCACTCGAGCCCCGGCGGCGGGTGGCTCAAGGGCGCCCTGGCGCAGGAGGAGGCCCTCTGCTACCGCAGCTCCCTGGCCCTGTCGCTGCACAGGAGGTACTATCCCTGGAAGCAGCGCATGGGGCTGTACTCGCCCGACGTGGTGGTGATCCGCTCCGATATGCCCTCGGGCCACAACCTGCTCGTTCCGGATGTTTCCCCCGCGGACCTGCCTGTCGTGAGTGTCCTGAGCATCGCGGCGCCGCGGTGCCCCGATGTGGCGGCGGCTTCGGAGCAAACGCCGACGGGAGGTTTCGTGGAGCGGACGGTGTATGCCCAGATCGAGGTGCGCGAGCTGATGAAGGATAAGATGAGGCTGTGTCTGAGAATGGCGGCGCAGCGGGACCATGGGTTGCTGGTGCTGGGTGCGCTTGGCTGCGGTGCGTTTAGGAATCCGCCGAGGGAGGTAGCACACTGCTGGCTGGAAGTATTGAAGGAGGCGGAATTTGAGGGTGGATGGTGGGAGGAAGTGTGGTTCGCGGTGTATGATCGGAGGAATGAGGGCAACTTTGAGGTGTTTGAGGAGATTTTGGGCGGAGTCGAGATCTGAGGCGTTGATTTCAAAGGGCAATTCATCAGTCTTATATGTTTTTGGGTTTGGTCTATATTGATTTCTCTTAATCGCGGGTAATGGTCCTTCACTCTTCTTCTGATGGATCTTTGAGTATGAATGCGAATGAGTTTCATCAGAGATCGCAACCACTACGCTCGAGTTCGCAAGTGAGAGCAGTTCATCATTATTGAAAATTTTGACTATGTTAATTTTCCTTGATTGTAAATAATGATTCTTCAATCCTCTTCTGTTGAGTCCATAAGTGAGGGTGAACAAGCAATTGGGCGAAATAAAACGTGGCATATCAAAGCTCTTTCCGCGTAAGGCAAGGACCTTGTTTTTTAATTAAACACAATAAGAAGAGAATGATAAGAGAATAGTAAACTATTCTGTAATATTTAGCTTGATATTGTATTCAGTAGGTACTAGGTTACTTATTATGATATTATATTGAACTTCAATATTGAACTATCTCGAGGTGCTATGTTTTATTTCATCCACTTGACAAGGCAGGATTTTGCACTTCGTCGATTTCTCTTCTAGGCTGATGAGTCCTCCATGGATCGCCTCTTCTGTTTCATTCCTGTCCCTGACTACTGTTACTTGAGATAGCTAGCTGTACCTAGGTAGGTATCGTATATTAAGAATCGTTATCTGGGAGTGCATTCCAAACAGCCTTTGCATACGCCTGAAGTTCATCAGCTTGCAGTAGAAAATCCCCTTCAGGAGGAACTGGATCCCGGCGCAGCACATCGCGGAACTCCAACCGCAGGGGACTTCCAATCACCCTGTAATTGTTTCGCGGTGTATCAGTTGATGATCGTTCGATCATGAGAATAGGTGGATACACCTTTGGGCGTTCGGCTTCTCTCAGGAGAGCGGCGTGAAGGCGCGTGTTCGGTCGGCTTGGTGCTGTAGGGCTTGGCGGTATAGGGCTGGCCTTCCACTTCTCAATTTGAATTCGAAGCGGAGATCCAATAGCCAAGAGCACAATTTTCACTGCGCCATTTGAAGCCTCAAGCCACCAGTTTGCCTTGGCCACCAAAGCAGCTTTACTCTGTGACCAGACGGCTTCTATAACAATAGTAGGCCAACCGTTGTTTCTGCTCCCAACCATGAGTCCCAGGCTCGAGTCTCCTTCTCCGGCAGTAGTTGATCCAGAAATCATTGGGTCATTATTTAGGAATATTGTCTGCTTATTATTGCACAATAACCGTTCCGGAAAGTATGTTGTTGACCCATATCCAACCATCTCGTTGAAAAGAGAAGTGCCATACGTTTGATATCGAAGCCTGTCGTAGAGTTCGCCATGGAGCCTCTCATGCACAAGAGATATTGGGTATTTAACGATCAGTATCTCATACTCGGAGCTGTAAAAAAAGAGTCTACCATGCTTTTTTGGTGGTTCGATCCATTGGGTGAACTTATCGATAGTTACACCCTCGATTTTGGTAAGAGATGACCTATATGGAATATTACCAATAATAATACCGAGATCATCATGAGGTTCTATTTTGATAGTAGAGATATCTATTGGCGGTTACGTTAGAAAGTAAGGACAGATTAAATATCCAGGTAGCTTGACGTACCCAGAGTACACAAGGCCGTGATCGAGTTTTGTTTTTCTTCGCTTGCAACCGACGTTGCTGCGGTCTCACCAGAGGAAGTTCGAGCCATAGGTAGTGTCAAGTGGCTGAAATAGAATATAGCATACCAAAACCTCCATACAGCTTTAGATTTCGATACAATATCAAAAGTATCGACCCATTTATTGATACAATGTCAAGCAAAATAGTATACAATAATATATTATTTGACTGTTATTATTTGAAATATTATTGATAACAGAATAAGATCTCCAGCTTGCATGAAAAGAGCTCTGGTGTGCCATGGTTTATTTCAGCCACTTGAGTGTCCACTCTGTTTAAGTTTGCCTCCACGTCAATAGTTCGAGCCGGCTTCGCCTCAAAGCCCATAAAAATCCCAACATGGACGGACCCCATCACCATACTGCTTCTCTTTCGGCGTAGAGCGTCGAAGGTTCAGTAACAGAAGAATTTGGAACCATAGACCGATTACAACTGATTCGTTTGTAGGGCTCCATATAGCTAGGTGCAGCCGGAAATGTTCCGTCGAAGCGCTTGAGTGCGCAGCCACTGCACAATTACGGAAGTGAAACAAGTTCATGCATATCTAACCCACGTACACATTAAATGATATAAAGTTGGCCGTAGTTTGTTTTTGGTGTGGTTCGATGTATGCGGGGAAGATGTGCAGAAGCCCCGAGTTTAGTTAAGCAGTTCATATGATATGAGGCGGCTATGTATGCACCATCTACAGATAGACTACCGAGGATATAATCATTTCCATGGAATCTTTAATATATCACAACGGACTACCATATTGCATGGATTTTCTGTTCTCAAAAAACCGACAGCGCAGGCATGTGAACACATCTTTGAGCAACAGGTTTATAGGGTAGGTAAGCAAAAAGAACTGTCTGTGTATCCATGGCTTTTCTCACTAACCACAAAACCGTGAACCCGCTTACTAGAACGAAAACAATCTCTGGTCAAGTCGTCGATCCATACTGATTACCACCGATTATTACTCATTACTCTCCACCGACTGAAACAACTGCCGTCCGACTCGATGAGCAACGGCTCTGATAACAGGCTTTCACCATGGCCCCCCACATGCACCCTGGATGATGGCGATTGCGTGCTCGCGAGCCGCCGATGGCGAGTGTTCAGCTAAGCACTAGATAGGCAGCCAAAAAGACCCTAACAAAGAGCTTTCAGCTCGATGAGGCCCTCCCTGGTGCATGATTTTCGTTTGTTGCCGCTGCGACCCCTTGTGTACCATTTCTCGCTGATCCTTCCCTCGGCTCTCGTCTCTGAAACGCGGTCTCTCTTCCACCTCAGTGTGCAGGACAGACCGAACTTTTCCTGGCTGATACGTCGCAAGTCTCAAGGTCGAGAGCGAAGGGAGAACAAGATGGTATTCAATCCCCACAAGGACGATGTCGCGGGCCACCGCTACACGGACTATAACCCGGCCGACTATGAGGCCTCTCGGCCGGAGGATATCACGGACGACAGCCTAGTCGACCCGGACTCGGGCGTCAAGCGCGGCCTCAAGAATAGGCACCTGTCCATGATGGCTCTGGCCGGCATAATCGGGCCTGGATTGCTTGTGGGAGCTGGAGGCGCATTGAACAATGGCGGTCCTGCGTCGCTGCTGATCGGATTCGGTGTGATCGGTATGTCGCTCGCGTCCTGTCGCAAGCGCAATCGCTTGTCGCAGGGACGGTGTGAATGTTTTTTTTGTATTTTTATATTGACGGTTTTGATCTGCAGGTATCATCGCATTCGCCATCATGCAGTCGCTCGGTGAGCTCACCACCATCTTCCCTGGTGGGGGTTCCTTCATCTCACTCGCCGAGCGCATGGTCGACAAGTCCTTCTCGGTAGCTGTGGGCTGGAACTACTTCATCATCTGGGCCACCGTTCTCGCCAATGAGTACAATGTCATCTGCAACATCCTCACCTACTGGGTCCCGCAGGTCCCCCTCTGGGGCTGGTTCCTCATCCTCTGGTCCTTGTTCCTGGGCTTCCAGCTTCTAGGCATTGCCGCCTTTGGAGAGGCTGAGTTCTGGCTTGCTCTGATCAAGCTGCTTGGTCTGACTGCCTTCTTCATATTCTCCATCATATACTGCGCCGGCGGTCTGGTTGGCCAAACTGAGCCACTTGGCACGCGATACTGGAACGACCCAGGCCCGTTCAATGGAAACGGCTTCCGCGGCGTCGCTGTTGTCTTCGTTTTCTGCTCTACGTTCTACGCTGGTGTCGAATCTGTCGCTGTTGCGGCTACCGAGACGAGGAACCCGGGCACGGCCGTGCCCCAGGCCATCCGACAGGTGTTCTGGCGCATCATCTTTGTGTATATGGGATCTGCCCTTTTCTTCGGGCTGACTTGCCCAGCAAACGCGCCCGATCTTGTCGGTGGATCTTCAAAGGCTCTCCAGAGTCCTATGACGATTGCCATCCGGAATGCAGGTTGGGAAGGTGGTAAGTGACCGTTATTCCATGTTCGTGATCCCGAACCGCTCACTTATATGAATCCGCAGGTGTCCATCTAATCAACGCTTTCATCCTGGTTACCTGTCTATCCGCGATCAACTCGTCCATCTACATCGGCTCGCGAACCGTCCTGTACATGGCACAGTCTGGAAAGGCCCCCAAAATCTTGGGCTGGGTCAATGGTCGCGGCGTCCCGGTCTGGGCTATTCTCATCACCAACGCGGTCGGCTCCATCTCCATGATGAATGTGTCCACCGGTGCTGCCAAAGCCTACACCTACATTGTTAACCTGTCCGGTGTGAGCACCTTCCTTGTCTGGGCTGGTATCTGCTTCATCCATATCCGATTCCGCCGCGGCTGGAAGGTTCAGAACCACAGCTTGCGCGAGCTGCCGTTCAAGGCAATGGGGTTCCCTTTCCTGGCCTACGGAGGTCTCATCGCCACCATCTTCCTGGCGTTTGTCCAGGGTTGGACCACGCTGGCACCCTTCGACGCGCCCAACTTTGTGGTGGCTTACATCCTGCTGCCCTTGTTCGGCGTCATCTACGTCATCTGCAAGCTCTGGTGGCGGAGCGCCGATCCCTTCAAGCGTAGCTGGGATATCGATCTGGCCAGCGGGAGGAGAGTCGATCTCGATAAGTCGGATGCTGCCATCAGCTCGGGAGGGTACAAGCCGCCTCTGTGGAAGCGGTTGTGGAATTCTTTTTAACGCCTTGGGGAGTTTGTGGGGGATGGAGTCTAGATGATGGGGCAATCGCGAGCTACCTTCTGCATGATGACGAATACTCATGAGATGATATCATGTCTTTTTGGATACCAATTTAGCATATCAGAGGGGAGGAAACTAATATATGCACAAGAAGAAGAGAGAACTTGAACATACCTAACGCCTATTAGATTGGTCGTTGACCGGCTTTCCCAAGAGAGACATTCAGGCAACCTTATTTCAAGAGGTGACACACCCATATGCACGAACAAGCTCCAGCAGCACGCGCCATCCAATGCTTCGCGATGCTTTTCCCGACCCTGGCCTGTTTTTCTTGAACGGGAAGTCGATGGAACCGTGCCATAGGCCCACCCAATTATTAAGGGTCCCCTTACAATAGCTCGACCACGATTCGACGACGACCAAATCGCCCGGAGTAGTGTGTAAGATGGTGCCTGACAAAAGGAAACTCGCTGACTGGAAGCCGGACAGATCAAATAATGTGACGGGGCCAAGTCTCAGGGGTTCGCAGCAGTCAATGGCTCTGTTTTTCTGACCTATCCCTCTGCTGCTGATGGATACTGAGCCCCTCCTCGTCCCTCCCACATTGCCCCAGATGCAGGGATCCGAAGGAAGTTTCCCGCCGGATTCTTCTCGTCGAGGAAAATCTTTTTCGCAAACTCACCTGATAAACTCCAGGGAAGGGGTCTTCACCGTTCTCCTTATTCGCATTCCACAGTCTCGATCGTATTGACCCCGGCGGCCAATGGCCAGTCGGTTGAAGGGCAGGCGAGAGGAGCCAGGTAGTGATTTATCTATTGAGCAGACATGGCATGAAACCAGACGCCAGAGAGCTGTCAATCGTATTCGCATGTCCCACTTACACTGGACTCTATGCAAGTTATACTTCAATCTGGTAGTCCACGGTGTAAGTCGCATATCCAATTGACGAATGGCGAGGCCCAAATTGCAAATGCCGAGCCACGACCAGCTGAACGACTGGCAACAGTTTAATCGCCGGGACCATCTGATGAGATCTGGCAAGTGATATAGAGATTTCGTATTGCGAGTCTGATTCGGATCGAGATGGTGCGGCGTAGATGGGCTGAGGCTCGGATCCCGGATACGAACACGCCACTTTTCTGTGTGCTGGTTGGCCGCGGCCGTATTCGGATTCGCCCCGTGCTGTCTCACTGCACCAGCCAACCTTACATCTACTGCTACAGGCGATCAGAAGGCGTCCAAAGAGGGAATACCCATTTATATCTCCGACATTTGTAAGATTCGCTGATATGTTGCGGTCAAAAACCATATCCTGGGGCGAGGGGTATAAAGGGCTACGGTCCCCTCGATGAGATCTGTCCAACCTTCAAGAGGGCATCTCTAGGAACCTACCTGTCCAGTCAATTCTACTCGAAGCGTCGGCCTGGGGAGACAATGGACTCTTTCATCAAGATCGCGGGGGTGGCCGTTGCCGCCACGGTCCTGCTTATCATCGGCAATGCCATTCGCCAGCTGCTACCAAGGAGCAAGACTGAGCCGCCAGCCGTCTTCCATTGGATCCCCATTGTTGGAAATGCAATCTCATATGGCATGGACCCTCCTACTTTCTTCCGCCAGAACCGTGAAAAGGTACGTTGGGACCCTTCAATTGATCCTCTTACACGGGCCTTACCACTGACCGGTATATAGTATGGCGACATCTTCTCCTTTACTCTCTTCAATATGAAGTTGATGTGCTACTTTGGTATCGACGGAAACGAATTCATCCTCAACGGCAAGGTGGCCGACCTGAACGCCGAGGAGGTCTACGGCCCTCTCACCGTCCCCGTGTTCGGTAAAGATGTCATATACGACTGCCCCAACGCCAAGCTCATGCAGCAAAAGAAGTTTGTCAAGTTCGCACTCACGCAAAAGGCCCTCGAGGACGCCGTCCCCATCATCGAGAAGGAGGTCACCGACTACATCAAGACCACGCCCGGGCTCAAGGGCCAGGCCGGCACCCTCGACATCTCAAAGGCCATGGCCGAGGTCAACATCTTCACGGCCAGCCGCGCCATCCAGGGCGAGGAGATCCGCTCCAGGCTCAGCCGGGACTACGCAAAGGTGTACAACGACCTCGACAACGGCCTGCAGCCCGTCAACTTCCTGATGCCCTGGTTCCCGTTCCCCCACAACCGCAAGAGAGACCTCGCCCACATCCACATGCGGAACCTCTTCCTCGAGGTCATCGAGAAGCGCCGGAAGCAGGGCCCCGAGGCCGAGCACGACATGATCTGGAACCTGCTCAACTGCAAGTACAAGGACGGCACCCCGGTCCCGGACAAGGAGATTGCCCACATGATGATCACCATGCTCCTCGGCGGCCAGCACTCGTCTTCGTCCTCGAGCTCCTGGATGCTCCTCCACATCGCCTCGCGGCCCGAGGTCGGCAAGGCCCTGTACCAGGAGCAGGTCGACAACCTCTCCAAGGACGGCAAGCTCCAGCCCCTCACGTACGCCGACCTCGACAGGCTGCCCCTGCTCAAGAACGTCGTCAGGGAGACCCTCCGCACCCACTCGTCCATCCACAGCGTCATGCGCAAGGTCACACGCACCCTCGAGGTCCCTGGCACCCCTTACGTCCTGCACCCGGGCACCGTCATGTTGTCCTCGCCCCTCGTCACGCAGCTGAGCGACGAGCACTTCCCCAACGCCGCCGAGTGGAACCCGAGCCGCTGGGAGAGCAAGGAGGAGAAGAAGGTGGAGGGAGCTGGGGGAAAGGAGGCCAAGGAGGAGGATGAGGAGAGCGAGCAGGCTTTGTCCAAGGGCGCCCGTAGCGCGTATCTGCCCTTTGGCGCTGGGCGGCATCGATGCATCGGTGAGAAGTTTGCGTACCTGAACTTGGAGGTCATTGTCGCCACGTTTGTGCGTCACTTCCACCTCAGCAACGTGGACGGCAGCCGGGAGGTGCCCCCTACTGATTACTCGTCTCTATTCTCGCGGCCTACCATGCCTGCCGTGATCCGGTGGGAGCGTCGGGTCCCAGATGAGAAGGCTTAGATTAGGGAGATAAAGGGACGAAGCAAATTAAAACGCAACGGCAACGGGAGTTGCGATTGTAATGAAATAATACACTCAAGAGATAGATGCCTGTTACGCTTAGTATATTGAACTCGTATATAAGTTGTCAATTTGGACCTTGAACATAACAATTGTGTCTATCCCAACGTAGAATCCATCTCGCTGAGGCCCTCGTCGATCTCGACCCCTCCGATATACAGTCAGCATCAGCCTACATATACGAACTAAGTGTCCCACCACGGGTCGCCGCAAGCTCCCTTGTCATTACCTGGAGATCCAAGCCAAAACTAACGCCGCTCCGAACGTTGCTAGGTGAGATTTGGTCTAATCTCCTTCATAGTCTTATCAGTGAGGCCTGGAAACGATTTTAGGAAAAGGGGTTGGATTTCTATCAACATGCTATCAATCTAATTCAAGTTCCATCCTCGAACTCTGGCAGACTCGGTCATCATCACTGTCGCTTCTCGGCTCTAATCGGTTACAGTTCCAGCCCGGGACCACGGAGCGAAACTGAGCCACGGTCACTGCCGCATCCTGGTCGTAATCGACCGTGACGGCACCTGAAATAGACGGCGGGAATAGGTCCAGTATGGCGTAGACTCTGTCCTCATGTTCGTGTAGTTTGAGTAAGATGTCGCCTAGAGCCAGGAAGACGGGCAAGGCAATCGGCATGCCCTCCCAATTTCCCCACACCAAGAAAGTCTGTTCAGGATTTTCTGTCAGCTCTTGAATGACCTCTAAATGCGACCAATATTCCTTCTGGAGCAGCGTCAGTAGGTCTGACTTGACTACGTCCAAAAAGCGGACATTACAAGGCTCCGGTTCGTGCCGATCCTCATCGCCCGAGTTGCTCTTTCGATTCTTGCGCCAGGCAACTCCCAAATGTTCATCAAACATTAAAGCAAATACTCTCTCACCCACATCATCCCTGATTTCTTCGTCTTGTTGCTCCACCGCTCCCCAGTTCCGATGCCGGACTCCGAGAGCCTCTTCAAGATCCTGCCTGCCAGAATCCATGAACCCGTCGCATAAATCCATGGTCTTCCACGGGATGTCTGTGTGAGTATACCCAAGCTCAATATCCGTGAGCTCTTCCTTGTTGTTGACCCATGCCAAAATTTTCCAGGCGTGGCCGAAGATGGTCTTTTTTCGCAGAACATGTTGATTCCGGTCAAACGTATCAGCATGATTGATACAGAGAGCTTCGACCCATAGATAACGCACATAGTCGGAAAAGCCAACATCTTTCAGAGCAACCTCTAGATATTTGTCGACAGGTGTCGCGACACCGTTGATGAAGATTATGGCCTTCTCTCCCTCCCAATCTCGCCGTGAATAGCTCAAGCAGCTATAAACCTCAAAGTTAAATATGTCATTCTCCTCAGCCTGGGCGAGCTTCAAGATATCCACCGATGGATTTTGGTTGCGCAAAGTGACGAATTTAGGGTTCCAATCATCCAGTGATGCATGGCGTAGATTTAATCGCAAGGGGGCTTCTATATCCCCGTGCTCATGCCACTCAAACTCGATCAGGCGAATTTCGTTTTTAGAGAAGTCCAGTGGGCGGTATATCTGACTTGCCCTCATGTCTTGCTCGTCGGTGACAGACATCGTGTGATGGAGGACAAGTGAGGGTGTGTTGTCTGGTGTAAGGGGTCTTCCCATGCTTGGAAAGCAGAGTGAATTCCCCCAGAGCTTGGACTTGAATGAAGTTAGAGCAAGTGTAAATTTCAAGATGAGAGTGTTGTGGCATTTCTGAGTCGTGCTCCCGGAGGTGCTGTGAACGCTTCTTGTATCCAGCTGTCTTTCTTGTGTAGTTGTCACTCTTCACGGATCACGTTACGCAGGTTCCTGAGTGCTTTGACCAAATTATTTGTTTCTCCCGCCGCGGTGAGTTATTGGGCCTTCATGTGTCACCTTTTTTGGTTCTCTCCATTGGATATCTAATGAAAATCATGAAGGTTTGACTTCCCGCAAATGGATTGGGCTGTCACCAGCTTGAGCCGTGTTTGTATCATGTTGTAGTTCTGTTCTCCAAAATGTGATACAGGAGCTTACGTTGCTGTTGTCTGCCGCAGGGTGTACCCCTTCCATTCAACCAACGACTAAAGAGTTGAGCTGCCAAATCGCGGTAAGAAGGGTACATGATGTATCCTTCCCAGTCAGTCCCGGCCATGCTGGATGCAGTTTGTCAGCAGACGTGATAGTTCTTTACTTTTGTCCCCGCCTTGCTGTCACTTGAAGCTCGCCTCTGGAATCCTCATAGGAATTCCTGATACGACTGTGCCAAATACGTCAAGTGCGAACATGGTACGCATGCCAAGCGTCACCTCCAAAACATGACCGTCGTTGGTGGAACGTCGCTACAGGTTCCCTTCACCATGGCCACACAAAGGTCGGACGCATTCCCTATTCCCCAGGGTGAAGCATTGGATCTGTGTCATAAATGTGCTGTTGCCCATAGCTTCACCGTTTCTGTTCTGTCCAAGGACAAAGATTTAATTCCGTGAGCCCATTTTACAGCTATAGTACGTTCCATGAAAAAGTATAGATGCTTGTTACGCTACATTAAACTCGTATATAGGTCATTATTTGGGCCTTAGATATAGAAATTATATACTAGCCTGTCTAGGTAGCCATCAGTGCAGACTTGGGCCTTACTTCTCACCAAAAGAGAGCACCTAAGGAAGGGTAAGACATCAGCACGGAGGCTTTTAGTGAACATGAATTCAGAATCATGAGTAGACCTAGCCATATGCTAGTGGAGACTGATAGCCTCCTCTTCATGGCGACAATACCACTTAAGGCGTAGTACTGCCATAAAGCTCGCAGAGAGCCCTGACTCTGCAATCAACGTTTCGACCTCACACCGCGTCCGTGATCTGGTTAAAACCACCTCTTGTCAAGAGTATGCGAGCTCATAGAACGTAGGTATTCTTGTCCAGGCCCTCCACAAATGCTAAAAGAGGGCCGGAATCCAATGCAGTCAGCCAAAGTTGAGCCTTATTCGCCGCCCACAAAGCCACGTGAATAAGGTCCTTTTCAGAGAATTCGATGACAGGTGAAGAGGATGGTTTGCTGACCAACTCGTAATTCAGATACCAAAGCCAAAAACAGCTATTATTTGTTTTATCCTCATACCACCTAAGCTGCTTAGAGCTGAAATCGTACTCCAATACAGCATCCATGTCTGTTATGCTCGCCATCTCTTTTTCCAAGGCCTCAATCTTTTTGTTGTACTTGGTGAATTCAACGAGTCTTCTCTTGGTTTTCCAAGAAACTGGTTCCTTTGTTATAAGTCTATTGGGGTGATCCTACTCATCGCGTTAGCCCCATCTTCTCTTGCATTCGAGTTGTGATGTGGTGGTGCCTTGGAACTTACCGCAAGGATTTCAAAATCTATCCCAAATACCTCCATCGCTTTAACGCTAATCTTTTTGGCATTGAGGCGGCATAAGGTATTCGGTTCCACGCTGCTACTTCTCACGCTTGAGCATGTTGATCCCGGCCCCTTCCCACCTCTGGTGGTCTCGAATGAGTCTGATACGATCGCTTGCACTCTCTTTTGCAAATATCCAGCCTATTCCGTGCTTTGTCCCGTAATTTCTCGGCCGTTTCTCCTGCGAAAAACCTGGCACACGATCTATGGATTCGACCCCTGAATCCCTGATCCATGATGAATAAAGTGGCGAGGGCTAAACGGATGGACTTGACTTCAGGCTCGTCCAGAGAGGATGATAATAACACATCAGAAGCAAGGTAGTCTATGAGTTTCTGATGTCGGTGCCCTGGTGATGTATTCCATCGCAATGCCGGAAAGTGGTCTTCCTGCCCACTCAGAGCTGTCAGTCCCAAGATATGGACTGACGGGGCGAGTATCGATTGCCAGAAGACGTCCTTCCAAATCAACATCCCCCATTCATCCCAATCAAGCGCAATCAGCATCGAGATCGACCTCTCCAGTTCAACCCTTCTAAATCTTAAATGGATTCCTAATACATCACTGTTGTAATGTATCCAGTCACCGTCAACCATCAGTGGACCCGCCGTTGCATTGGAGGGCATGGCCTCCTCGTCTACTTCCACAGAGCATAGACTTCCATCTTCTCCAAGTAAGAATTTCGCACCTTATTTTAGCTCCCGAGTGTTATAGGAGTCATGATCATTTAACTTCTTTAGTGGAAGAAACTGTAAAACGGTGGGCTTGGGAATCCCCAAAGACCTCATTGCATCACCGATTGACAGAGGGATACTCTCCGACTTTTGCAACGAAACTATAATGGGCCTAGGGGTACTATCCCAGAGCAATGAATTGAGATTGCACTCCTCGAAAATGGGACTATCAAATGACATGATGGTAGGCTCGCCCTCCAAAGAACGGCCGCAGGGAACAAAACCATGTGCCAGCCAAAACAAAGCCTCTACCGACAGGCTCTCGCATTTTGGGATATCAGGCATGGCGAAAATTTCTTCTGTCGAGTGTGGCACGAACGAGACACATGTTAAATAACTCCAAGAGCCCTCAAGTCGCCCCAGATCTTTGAACGTTCCAGTAATGCCGTGAATCGCCGTTGATGAATTATTCTCTAGTCTCCATTCTCCATGCTCGCTGCGCCTGAGAGATGAGACATATTCATTATGGGAACTCTCGCTTTCCTCCCGTAAGGAACTTGGGGAGTCCCTGTAATCGTGAAAATGAGGATCTTGAAGGCAAAAGCTGTCCGACGATTCGCCAGAGGAAGAATCTGAATCTTGTTCGGCGTGAGCGAGACCGAGAACGGCGCTGAGAAAGCGTTGGGAGCGCTGGGGTTCAAAGTGCCAAAGCAATGCTCGCTCGCCCTTAAAGTCACGCCGGATTCCGTTGTGCTGCAAAACTCCTTTATCTTTTCACCGACCGTATCGGCCAAGTATTCCAAGCTGAAGAATCCAGTACTTGTTAACAACCAGGGCTGTCCGGCTGTTGACAACCTCGAGAGTGCCTCCCTGGGTAATACCAAGCTCTATCGGATCTCTGCTTGTCTCCACGGATATTGTATATGCCTGTAGCAACTCCGAGAGTTTCGCCCAGCCTGTGTTCCAAGACAGAAAATCGCAAGGGTGCAAAATGCAGCGTCCCAGTATGATGTGCATCGGCAACAGGGACATAGTATTCGCATGGGAGGTGATGTAGCCCGGAGAAAGATTAGGAACTCGAATCCTACGAAAGGCCCGATATCCCGTCCAAAGATGGTATCCCTGGCTGATGTACTTCTGGGGTAAATCTTGGACGGCGTTCAACGCCCGGTTTCTGTCACTCATCGACGACTGGATAGCAAGGAATGGTGCGATCACGCCCAGCAGCGCGACAATTGCCACCCCGGCCGCCAACCAAGTGCCAATACTGCTCGCGACATCCACGGGGCTTGGAGTGCCATCATCTTTGCTCACAGACATTTTGATAGATTTCTTCCAGGACTTGTCTAGGTTGGTGATGAATTAGGTAATTCAAACACGGCTGGAATACGTGAGGAGCATGAGTTATGCCCAAGGATGGTTTTACACATTGCAGAGGCAGTAGCCACCCCGCGTAAGCAAGGACATTTTGGGACTCATGCATGAGGATAAGGCCTCGTTGCCCGTCGATCGGCATCATCGGGCTTCGAGAGTTGGGAAAAGACCTGTGGATTGATCTGCCACATCCATATAAAACTACACGTATTTACCCTCAAAGGGCCTTTTTATCTGTCCTCTTGAATATTCTCCCAATAGTAATGAGGATCCTATGCTAAAGTATCCTGGAATTCCGTCTCTCATTTTCGAGTGTTACATCAATATCAATACTTAGACGTTGGCAGGTATGTTTCAATTCTATTACAACCTTCATATCGATGGTTCAGGCGTTATATTGTAGACCAGGGCGTTGTTATAAATTGGTAGCAGTTGAGCGGAAATGCCCAGAGCCGCATAGCTATTGTAGTAGCAAGCAACATGAAGCGAGCTTTTCATGAACCAACGGCATATACCAAGGCCCAAATGCTACCAGAGTTACTCATAAATGCTACCGGAGTTACTCATAAATGCTACCAAAGTTGCTCATAAGCGCAAATGAACTAACAGGTTCCTTCAGCTCTCGAAGCCCCTGAAAAATACAGTCAATCTCACCACCAACATACCGAATGACAAGGTTTATGACCTGTTGGCTCTCCTTCTGTCTACATCAGGCGTCGATGCTTCTGTGTCGCAGCATCATTGGACAGAGCTGAGCCTCCATGGTTACATGGCATGTCCATTTCCCATGCGTGACGTGTATAAATAGGCTGTCGACTCCCCGCTCCAGAGGTTCAAAATATCTCGATTCTCTGCTGGAGAAATCCATATCACTGGTATGGCACCACTAACATGATGCCTTCTCTTTGCGCTCCCTGTGATCGTTCTTTCAGTAACGACGAGGCGCTACGGCAGCATCTAAAAACTTCACGGGCCCATGGTCAATTCAACTGCGATACTTGCGACCGAAAATTCATGACCAAAGATGCGCTAGAGCAGCATCTGAAAACCTCCCCTGTTCATTTACCATCTGTTCATTTACCGTCTGTTCATTTACCGTCCGTAGACTGTAAGCCATGCGGTCGATCCTTCAAGAGCGAGGAGGCGTTGCAACAGCATCTGCAGTCGCCAGCACATGCACCTACTTTTGACTGCAAAAGTTGCAATCGATCTTTCAAAAATGACGAGGCGTTGAAACAGCATATGAGATCTCCAGCTCATGATCCAACCTGCAAGAATTGTGATCGATCCTTCAAAAGCGATGAAGCACTGCAACAGCACATGCAGTCGCCAGTACATGCACCGACCTTTGACTGCAAAATTTGTAGTCGATCTTTCAAAAGCGATGAGGGACTGAAGCAGCATATGAAGTCACCGGTTCATGATTCGACCCTCAACTGCCAGACTTGTGATCGCAAATTCCAAAGCAAGGAGGCTTTGGAGGCTCACTTGCGTGACTCTCCAGTCCATGGACGGAAATCGAAAACCCCCTTGGACACGTTCTTCGGGTCTTTTCGAAGTTTCAAATACGACCCTTCTATCCCGCCATCCACGTCGTATGCCAAATTACGAGACCAAAAAGGCTGGGAACGGGGTGATCCCGAGGGGGATGATGCGTGGGACAGATATCAAGATGCATTGGCGACCGAGCTTGAGATGTGGTTTGGCGCAGAGGATGATCTGACGGCCTGGCATTCGCTCTGCCGTGCAGTAGGCATCGAGCCCCTTCCGCCAACGTGTGCGCTATGCAAGAAGGTAAGAATCTAGGTGGTGTATCTGGTGTTTCCATGCTAACTGGACCACAGGCTGCTCGAAATACGCACGTCAATATCGTGGATTTGATTGATTGGAGGCGAAATCAAAGTCAGCAAAAGGTTCGGATATTCAGAGACGTTGATAGCCTGCGAGCCTACACCAGGGAGACTAGGAAGATATTCCGCAACCCGTACTACGACGACGAAGATGGTGGTAACATGGTGTTGAGACACCTCCTTCGGAGGATCTTTTGCTGAGCTCGTGAGGGCTGAAGTCCATTTCCTATATCATCCATCCATATTCCAAACGGTCCCTATGCAACTCTACAAAGCTGCACACCAATCCTCTCCTTTGCACTGATCACCAATAGCTTGTACAATTTATCAATGATGGGAGCAGGCTCTCAGCACTGATTCTGGTAAATTGTACATTTCAAATTGTTAAAATTTGTTACACATACCTGTTCTATAGCAATATTAAGTGTTTTCTTAACACGTCAGTGTAATCGATTATAGCTGTGTCCATTGATCAAGGCTCGTACCGTTCACTCTCAGACTTAAATCGTTCATTGTTATTCACTGTCTGTCAAACAGCTGCGCGGCCACCTCAATGGTAGCTGTGTCTCATGTGATACTGAGTAGTTGAGCTGGCAGCTGTCGATGGCAAGCATCATGAGTGAACGACTGTTAAAGCTAGTCCAGTGGAAGCTTGCCCGTACCTGAAAAGGCGTGGAATTAAATGATCGGAGCAGTACACTGGAATTAGAGGGGGTGTGTTACTGCAAAGAGGGGTAAGAGATGTGATGCCTACTGATGAAACGGTACTACGACATCGTCAAGGTGGATGAGGCTTGCACGAGCAGCCAGCACAATTGTTTTACACCGAGTTGTTGTTATCAATAACACATCATATATTTATAGAACTGGGGATCAAATGAATGAGAATCTTCTGCTTCTGGCTTAGGTATGTTTCTATACCCTAAAAAGATTAGATTTCAGGTCCCAAAGTTTGATCCCAAGACAGGAGTCAGATTTGCTTTTGCTCTACTCCGGAAGGTATAGGTTAAGTTCCATTGCTGCATACAGCCGGATACCTTACCCTAGGCTGAATCATCGCCAGATAGGCTCAACCACTAAGGGTGGTCCAAGCGCCGCAGGCCCTGTCAGGCGCTGCACCGCCCTGAAGTGGCTGACTCTGGGGCCATCTGCAGGGGTCCGCAGCGTCGTCACAGGCGGAAGCCCCCTAAAAGCCATGCCCCATCAATCCATGCCGCATCAGACACGCAGCAGCTCCCAGGCAGATCGCCGTTTGACGCAGTCAATATATTGAAGCCGGCCATCTGCCACCACTTTGACCTGCTGCCACCCACTTCAGTCCAATCTCCCCCGACGCCGTCCACCACCCTCCGTGCTTCGATCACACCTCGACGCTCCTCAATCGCAGCCAGAGACGCCGCCCAAGCGCTACACGTGCAATCACCCCAGCCAGCCTTTTCCTTCGTCCCGGAACTGCCGAGTCGCACCTCTCCGTCATTCCATCGACCGACCTCCGCCGAGACGCCATACCCCGACCCAGCGACACCACCACCCGGCTCCCTTCTCTCTGCGCAATGCTCCGTTGAATCCGTTGATACCATCCCGCCGCAGCTTGTACTCGTTTCGCGACAGCACGTTGCTGCACCACCGTCGTTTAATGGAACCTCGAGCTGTCGCACAGCGCCCCATCCAGCTATCAGCCTCCTAGCCCTCGCCCGTCCTCACCCTGGACCTGACCAGCTTCACCCCAATCGCACAGCAAGCCGAGTGAATGCAACCTCTAAACCCCTTCCTTGCCGCTTTCTTCAAGAGCTCGGTAGCCTCACAGTGCACCCCCGTCCACCACCATATCCTCCTGGTGCCCCTGACGGATGTGCTCCTCACCTCCCGAGAGACCGAGAGCGGCGCCGCCGTCAACGAGGTCATAACCTCCGAGGACTTCCTCGCCAGTCATGTCCTCCGCATCCCGCCACCCGGCGCCGGGCCTGGGGCGAAAGACGGCGCTCCAAACCTGCGCGAGGTAAGAGGCAAGGCCAAGCAGCTGTCCACGCTCAACGGCAGGAGCGTCATCATCAAGGACTCGTTTGTCTACAGCAACAAGGGTAGGTTGGCCATCATCATTGGCGAATAGTAGTCGCAAGCTAATCCCTGTCGCTCCCAGGTTTCAAGACACTGGTTCAGGCGCAAATTCTGAGCGACAATACCTACTACCCTGACGTTTTCGAACCACGACAATGGCTATTATACTTCATTTCGAAACCGCTTGTCGGAGTATGGGAGGAGGTCAAGATCACGCCCGCAGTTCTTGTGCCAGGAGTACGACGGCGCATGCTCTCTCAGCAGCAGCAGCAGGCGTCCAAGACCGATACCAACGACAACCCCGCGCCGAAGAAGAAAGACATTAGAAGCTTCCATGACCTCCTTAATAACTTTCCTATGATCGCGCGACAGATGCATACTGGTCTGGAAAAGCTCTTCCTTGAATTCACGACAACCTTCCAGAAACCACTCCCGCCGCCTCCGTCAGCCGAAGTGATCCCCGATCCGATCCCGGATGGCCCTTTCAAGATTGCTATGAGCAAGGCAAGATCAAACAGCACGTCTGTTAAGCCAAGTGATACGGGGTCCCGCAAGCTTCCGATCACCGATGACTTCTATGCAGAAGACGACGAGGACATCTTGAGGGCCTCTCTTGAGACGGCTGTAACTACAGCAATTGACCTCTTTCAGGGGGTCGATAAACAGCAATTGTCTCTGCTGGGCGCAACGACGGATCTCACGGGGCCGTTGGTTGAGAAACTCATAGAACGCTATGTTGCTGAGAATGTCAATCACCTGCTATTCCCTCGGCTTTGCACCCTCAAGCGCCCTGAAGACCTGGAGCTTGAGGCAAAGATACGGAAGATGGAGTTCATTGATATTTCCCAGCTGGGGATCCGTATCGATGGGGGTCTGAAAGCTAAGCACGACCTCCTCATCCAACTCGGGCCTGCCATTGAGGAATTCAAGAAAATAGCCAACTCACTCTCCCCCCAGGAGATGCTGGATCTACTACTGTCAACAGTCAAGACAGTGTCGCAATTAACAGGACCCAACGGAGACGCATCCGCCGGTGGAACGTCAGAAAAAACCATAATGACTGTCAACGCCGACACCCTGGTTTCACTATTACTATATGTTGTTATTCGATCTCAAGTTCGCCACTTACAGGCGAGGTTCACCTACATCCGAAATTTCATTTTTATTGACGACGTCGATAGTGGCGAGTTGGGATATGCGCTGAGTACATTCGAAGCAGTCTTGACATATTTACTCATGGATTCTTCTGGCCTGAGGCGGGCAAGCAGGAAAAACAAGGCTCTATGGGATGCGGCCAAGAATGGCAATATGGAAGAGTTGAGAGGTATCATGGAGCCCAGTTCGTCGGCTGTTGACGATGCGCCAGATTCCCCTGAATGGCCAAGGTCAAGAAGAGGGTCGGGGACTTGGAGCTTACTCAACGGCTCTTCGAGGAGATCTTCACTAGCCCTCACAACAACAGAGAGGTTCTCCCAAGGCTCCGATCTGAGCCATGTATTTCCCTTCCAAAACAATACGGAGGTCAATGGAGACACGCCTGCTTTCCCAATACGCAGGGTTAAGAGGGTGGCCATGGACACTCGCAGTCTCTCTAGTAACTCGGAAATCTCGTTCCACTCTCGCACAGCAAGCCTTGCATCTCTTGGTAGCGCGCTAGAGGGTGACATATCCGTGGAGCGTCTGTCACAAACGAACAACGCCTTTGGCGAATCCATCCTGATGATGGCGATTCAGAGTGAGCAGCCGCAGGCTCTGAGCTATCTCCTGTCATTGTCACAGTACTACCCTGTACAAGATCTGCTCGAGGATGTGAATAATGAAGATACGACCCTATTAATTGCAGCCGTCCAATTAGGACACAAAGAAATCATCGATATGCTGCTGGACGTTCTTACCAACAAGACGAGCCAGGAGCAGCTGGCCCTGTACTTCGCACTTCCAGACATCTGGGGGCGAACCGTGGGTCACTACCTTTTTAATGCACCTTTCTTGATCCCAAGAGTCGCTCACCTTGTCCCATGGCGGCAACGAGATAAGAATGGCCAAACACCACTCTTCGCCCTGTGCCGATCATACGATCACGCCAACTACCATGAGATGGTCAAGGCCGGGCTTGAAGCAGCGAGGGACGCACAGATGGACAACGAACCACTACATCTGGATGAGCATGTTGATAATAAGGGCAACACACTACTCCACATCATCAACGACCCGGTGATTGCGAGCGGCGTGCTAGACTTCTGCGACGTCGATGTAAATGCAACGAATGAAAAGCGATTCACGGCGCTCATGGTCGCCAGCAAGTATGGAAGATACGACATGGTACGAGCACTCTTTGCCGATGCAAGGGTAGATATTGCAGCAAAGGAGCTTCGCGGTCTGACGGCCGTGGAGCTGGCCAAGGATGACGACGTCCGAAACCGTATAGATGATCTGGCGCTCTTTAGCATGCAAGCCGGGCGAGAAGGGCGGATCACGGGCGTGGTCCGGGCCTTCTTCGTGGAAGATGGAAACGTACGACTAGTGCTCAAGTCGGCGGCACCCACTGCGCGTGAGAGCTATACTGTGACAACCAGTCGACGATCCTTGGCGGAGTTTGAGCAGCTCTTACAGCTTCTAGCTGACGAGAACCCGGCTTCATGGCTCCCCTCCATGTCGGACACACGGTCTCCCTTCCAGATCCCTTCGAAACCGTCAAGAGCCATTCTCCGTGACATCCAAGCCAAGACAGACTCGGCTCTCAAGGTTCTGCTCAACCACCCAACCTTTGCTACCCACGAAATGCTGTGGGAGTTCTTCTTGGTTCCAGAGCTGCAGCTGGAGATGATGCAAGAGCGGTCCAAGCTGAAGGCAGAGACGAGGATGGAGAGGGTCAAGGATGAGTACGAACCGGTGGAGAACGTGAGGGAGGTCGAGCAGTTCATCAACCACGCACGTGAAATGGTCAGAAGTGTCAGCTACTCGACTAAGAGCGTGACGAGGCGGGCCAACAGCATTGCGCTCGCTGCGGCTGGTAAGTTTTGCCCCCTTCCCCCTTTGTTTTACGTTTGATGCCAGTGATTCACGGCTAACATGGGATATTCGTCACAGACATGTACGACTCGTCGGTGCTCCTCCACCGGGGGGTGACGACGTTGCAGTTCCTGCCCCCATGGCACATGAATGCGTTCGAGACCTACGTCCGGGCCATCATGCCCGCGCAGTCGAACGCCTCGGTCACGCTGCACACGTCCCTCCTGGGCATACAGTCTACGGTGCAGGGCCTCCTCTCGGCGCTGTCGCGCCCGACGACGCTGATCAACCAGATTCAGGCCGCGAAGAAGGATGCGGAGCGCAACGAGAGCGCGGCCTCGCGTCCAACGAGGTGGCCGCTGGGCCTGCTGGATGACACGCGCCAGCGGTTCCAGGACGAGAGGGAGGAGCGGGCTCGCAAGTCACGGGGGGAGGCGCTGTACCTGGCCAAGGAGCTGCGGTACACGCAGCAGACGGTGGCCGGGGAGCTGGCGGGGTGGCAGGACATGCACGACAGGATGGGCGTGGCAGTGATCCGCGACTACGTGAGGGGGATGGTGTACCAGGAGCGGACGAAGCTCGACGGCATGGTGCGGGCCCTACGAAAACTGAGGGAGGGCAACATGGAGAGCGAGGGCGGCGGCGGCGGCAGGAGGTGGGAGCCGCCGCCACAATCAAGCAAGCTCCAGGTGCAGGATAGAGAGATGGTGGACGAGAGCCTGGCAGCGGCAGGGAGTGTGGAGGAGACGAGTGGCCGTGGTGAGCCCAGCTAGGCCTGCCGGTCGGGGAATTCCTCAAACGTACCAAGACATACATGAAGACCAAGGGAAAAAGTCGCGTGAGGAAGTTCGAAAGAAGATGGGTGGGAGGGGGCAGCAGCACGAGAAGAGAACCTAATGTGGCGAGTGGTCGAAGAAGCTTCGCTACCACAACAACATACATACATTCTTACACCACCATTCAGTATAGTCCGCATTATCATAGACATGGGCGAGAGGGAAGGATTCGCGAAATGTGGGGTTACTCTGTTACTTCGTCCTGGGGGAGCAAAGATGGGAAGGGAAACTTCTTTGGCGCTAGGCGGTAATAGTCCTTTTTGTCTGTAATCCGTTATGCAGCTTGGCGATAGAAGGGGGGACAAATGTTTGGGAGTTGGCAATAGAGTCACGGTGCACGTTTTGGGTCACCAGCATCCGACCAGTCAGTGTGCTGAGACGTGCTTTTCGGATGAATGAGAATGTCTGGGGACGGTGGATGAAGGGGGGCAGCGGTGACGTTGTGTTGTCATTGCATCCATCAATTATGCCACCCTGCTTTTTTTCACTCGCGTCGCATACAAGGTTTCACATCTGGACTGACTCACACTCGTAGGGCTACTACGGTTTGATAGGTCGTTGCTGGATGTGCTGGTTCAGGTGGGGAGAAACGTCAACCCCCAGGGATTATAGTAAAAAATTACTGTTGTTGGCAAGCTGTCATCCGCTCTCCGCACAAACCATAAGGATGGTTGATATTATCGTTTCTGTGTAGAGTAAAATTGACATTACGTGCAGTAGAAATCTATTAATAACGCCTCGGAACTTTTCGTCGGTTCTATTTTCTTTCTCTGCATGTCTCTTTTTTAACCGCCAGGTTGACGTACGCATAATAGGCTTTGCTCAGCGGTCGGCGTTTAAACAGACATAGGGTAGGGCTTTGGGTTTTTTGTTGTGCGGTCCGGGTCTTGGAACAGGGGCAGCATGGACCAGCTGGTGGACATGTCGCAGAGATCGATCGGCCTTTGTGCGTGGTGACTGAGACCTTGCCGGTCGCCAGTGTCAGATAGACCTGCACACCGCAGTCTAGTCGGAATCCGGACTCAAGGTTTGGATCTGCTGCTGGGAAAATGCCCGCAATTGTCGGGTTGTCTTCCCTTGGATCCTCCCCCATGCTCTCGCTCCTCCGTGGTCCCCTGGTCCCGGAAGCAATCCTGGCCAGTCGTTGGTCGACACGCTCCCATTGGCCGGCGCGGTGTCTGTACAACGCGGTCTTCTCTTCTGGAGGGAAGAAGCCCGTCGGGTGAGTCCACATGCGGGCGCGAAAACCACCGCGCTCGTGGTGAGCTGCCGTGACCTGCCAATCAGATCGGCGACCGGGGTAGGGCTCGGCCAATGGCGTGTTAGGCACGAATGATGCGTTCGCGCCTTGGGCAGTCGAGCATTGAGGAATTACGCGCCCGCGACGAGGATGGGGCTGTGCATGGAGCGAGTAAATTTCCGCAGCCGCCCTTTCTCGTGGCATGGAGGTACACGGTATGACATGACTCTACCTGGCGGCAGTAGGCACGGGAGCGGACCCCAGGTAATATCCCATCGGTCGGAGATGGGCTGTTGGCTGCGTGAGGCCCGGCTGTTTGAGGTAGCCGCTCGGCAGAAGAACTGGGCAGTGGTTTCTTAGCCGCCGGCGAATAGGAGCAGCTACACGGCAGGTTATCTTATTTAAGCAGCGGGCAAAAATAGCAGCGACGGCAGCGAGAGGGCCGGGAGCAGCCAGCAAGCGCCCGTGGAGGCTGCGAATAGCACGGAGCTCTTCTTGGCTGGACGCCTACTACACTACTACCGTAAGATTTTTCATTTTGATGATGACCTCCAGTACGACGTGAGGACCAGCAAAGGTACCTGCCGGGGACAGCCAAGCAAGAAGAATGAGTCACGCGCTAACGGGCAGAAAACAAAGTTGTGGCACGCGCGAGGCAGGCGGTCGCGGTGTCAAGCACCGCATCAAGCAGAGGGCCAAGCAGGAAAAATCAGAAACGGGCAGGGCGCTCCATGGCAACGCAGTCCACGTCGTCGCGCATCGCAGCATGGATGGGCTGGGCGGCCGTGTGTTCGGGTGGGACAAGACGTGGCAGCGTGTTTTTGCTGGTCTGCCGATGGGGCCTTCTGCGTGTGTTCTTAGCGGCTCCACAGCGCACTTTTTCGTGCCGTCAGTCCACTGGGACGGGCTGCTGGCGCTAACGCACAGGTGCAGGCGGGCTAGTTGGCGCCGGCCACTCACAGGCCGCCGACGTGCAGCCATCGCTCCAACCCCAGGAAACCCCGCGCACTGTGCTTCCTTAGATTATCAACACTTGAATTACAGTGCGGATATGTGTAAACCTGCACAGTCCCCACCTCTGTCCTCCCGTGTGCGAGAGACTGGCTGCAGCTGCGATGATCAGACAGACGTCCTTCGACACCTGCCGGCCATGCCACAACATCCTCGTGTCGGCTAGTCGCCCGCCAAGGGGGTCTGGTCTGGTCTCTTTCGCGTTTCAGATCGACTGCTTCGGTGCGTGCCAGATGACCCGCGACTCTCTCGTCTGGACCCTGGGCCCACAGGCGTTTCTGCCGTCAAGCATCCACGGCCACTGGACCTCCCAAGGATAAGAACCCGGCCTCCTGCTCTCTGGCCATGAGAGTTTTCCTCAGAAACCAAGCGATTCTTTCCCAATCGTTCCTCTCCTCTACCTTTCCCTCCAGGCCTCACTCTGAGCCCTTAATTTCTCTCCTCTTCATCTCGACTTAGACCTGGCCTGCCTGGTTGCTTGGCCCTCCTCGTCCTCAACCTCAACCTCAACCTCAAACCCGCCATATTCACTTACACACGAGACTGGATCTCGTCTGGCCCTGTTGATACTACCACTACCCTTGAGCTGGTCTCTTGCCAAAATTACACTACATACAATACCTGTTCCTACCGAACAGCACTTACACCAACAAAGCCCCCACGGAGCAATAAAACAAAACAAAACCACTAATAATCTTCAAGATGTCTTCGTGAGTTCCCCATATTCAGAAATAAAACAAACCCTGTGCTAACCGCCCTGAACTGCAGTCTGGAAGCCGACATCTCGTTTGACGAGTTCACCACCAGCTTCTCTTATGCGCCGGTGATGCAGCACTGCACCCCTTCGCCCCCCATGCATAACCTGGACTTTTCCTTTGATGCTTCTATGCTCAAGTATCAGGTCCCTCAAGAGTTCCACCAGTATGCTGCTCCTAGGCAGTACGCTCCCAGCCACACTCGCTCTTCCTCGCGTGCCTCCATCTACTCTGTTGGCTCGGCTGTCGACTCTCCCCCTGAGTCGGTCTGCCCCGGCCTGACCACCCCGCCAAGAGCTGGCTCTCCTGTCCGGAACCATGGTCCCCTCTTGCTTCCCAAGATTCGATCCCAGGATCAGGATCTTGATGGCTTCCCTCCCGTCACTACTGGCATGATGTCTACTCCCCCACCTGCCCCTGTTGCTCGCCGGTCCAAGGCCTTCCGCCACGCTCGTAGCTACACCAACCCGGAGACCCTCAACGCCATGGTCATGCCTCAGTTCAGCTTTCCCACTCCTCCTCGTGAGGATGGCTTCAGCAACCAGCTGCTCTGCTCTCCCGCCAACTTTGCCCACTCCCATGATCCCTCCAAGGCTCACACCCGCCGATGCAGCAGCGTCGAGGCCATGACCACTGACAAGTACGCCTACCCATCCTACCGTACTGTGCCTGTCATGCAGCAGACCGACTTCACTTTCCCGTCTGCCACTTACACGCCCCGTGCACCCTCCCCTCTGACCATGGCCGCCTCCGTCAACGTTACCCCGGAGCCAACCCCCACCACCACTCTCATGTCCTTCCTCACTGGTGCCAACTCGGCCGCCTCCTTGGTCCGAACCGTTTCCTTCCCCCACCGTGACCCCAACATCAAGCACTTCTGGTGGGATATCCGCAACATTCGCAACTGGTCCTCCTTCAACCTGGCTTCTGTCCTCACCCTCCCCGGCGCCTCGCTGCTCAACACCCCCATCCCGGCTCCTGTCCTCCCCCAGCCTACCATGTCCAGCCGCCACCCAGAGACTGAGGCCGCTCTCCACAGCATCTACGCCTCCTACTACCTCCCCAAGCTCAACTCCGCTCTCGCCCTCTGCTCTGAGCGTCCTCTCCAACTCTCCGTCCCTGCCGCCACCAAGGGTCCCAGTGCCATCAACGACCTCCTCTTCACTGCCAACGTCTCCGGCGAGGCTGCTGCCGCTGCCGCCATGTTCGGTGGTAAGCCCTCCGCCCGCGTCGTCGGCCTCGTCCGCACCTTTGACCGCTTCAACACGGGCATGCGCGCCGAGGGCAACATCAAGCGCGTCGAGTACCTCCGCGGCCTCGCCGCCATCCACCACGCCATGCGCGAGCACGGCTGCCGCTACGGCTTCATCCTCACCGAGATCGAGCTCGTCCTCGTCCGCAACGGCACCGAGTCCGTCCCCTTCTTCGGCGAGCTCGAGGTCACCAGCGTCCAGCTCGCCACCACCGCCGGCGAAGACCAGTCCCAGCTGACCGCCTGCCTCGCCCTCTGGGGCCTCTGCCAGATGGCCGGCGACCACCCCGCCCCCGGCCACGCTGCCTGGAAGTCAGAGGTCGGCGCTCCCGCCGAGGGCACCCGCCGCAAGGCCAAGGCCAGAGACGGCTGGATCCCCGCGCCCCAGCTGGCCGAGAAGCGCGAGGCCAAGCGCAGCAGAGGCTGGATCTGGCCCGAGGACGCCGTCGGCAGGAAGGAGCTGGGCAAGCGTGGTGTGCGCTACGGCGGCATCTAAAAACCAAAATCTAAAGGAGGAAGTGTTTTTTTATTTCATTTGTACGAGAAGGCGGCAGGACCGTCCTCGATTCTTACTTACTATTTTCTCTTATTTTTATTTTTTATTTGTGATGGGGTAATGAACGATCCGAGTTAGATCTTCTTGATGCCGATGGGATATGGATATGAGATACGACGGGGTGAGGATTTCGAGTCATTCTAGACCGGCCCGCCTGTCTGAAGAAAAAAGCCTTATTATGATTTTTAGCTCATGTAGCGATAATGAAATGAATGAATGAATTCAAGACATTGAACAAGAGACTTTTGCAATATTTGAATGTGACAGAAGTGTGAACCAACCGAAGGACTGGGTGGTGATGTGCTATTGATGATGCTAGTGCTACATCGGGGGCTGGGAATGCAGCACGCGCGGGTGGCATTTATTCATGAATCGAGTATAACGGATAGGGGAAGGAACAAGTGGTCGAAAAGTTTACACATGGAGCATGATATCACTGTTACTTTCACTCTAAGGGCACAACTGCAGGTGGTCATTAATTCCTCGTATTTTACTGTTTTTGAAAGCTTCATCTACTTTTAAATGTGACATTTGCGGGTGAAAATGGTCTTGCTTAACCCTTGGCAGCACCAGCCTTGATCAGTAGAATGTCTCCATCCTCAACGACATATTCCTTGCCCTTGGTCATGATCTTGCCCTTTGCCTTGACCTCGGCCTCGTCACCCAGCTCCTTGAGTGTGTTGAAGTTGTACACAACGGCCTGGATAAAGGTCTTCTCGAAGTCGCCGTGGATTACACCGGCTGCCTGTGGTGCCTTGGTGTTGGTACGGATGGTCCATTGGCGAACCTCGTCAGTACCGGTGGTGAAGAAACTGGCCAGCTGAAGCGCCTTGCGCATCTGGTGGATGACCTTGGGGAGAGCGGACTGGGCGCCCACGTTCTTTTGCTCCTCTAGAGCTTCGGCCTCCGTCTCATAGCGCGTCAATCTCTCCTCGAAAGAGACGGAGATGGGGATGATAGGGTCGCCAGTGGCGTGCTCCTTGACCCACTCGGCAATCTTGGGAAGATGTTTGTTCTTCTTGCGGATGAAGTCCTTCTCTGACAGGTTGACCAGGAACACCACGGGCTTGGCTGTGAGTAGGAAGAGAGGGTTGATGACCTCGACCTGTTTGGCTTTGTTAGCGCCAACTCAAACTCAATTGATCGAAAAATGAGTGAAATGGAAGAAGTGTATTGCAGGGTCAGAATAAACATTTATCTCATGGTGCGCTCTAGCGTTAATGTTTGAGGCACGTCGAAGAGCTGGGTTTATAGATCAGGCCATTGGGCCTTTTATCATCACATTGCGTATGTTGTGAGAGGCGTGGAAGTGAAAAAAAAAAGGAATGAATCTTACCTCCTTGGGAGTCCAGTTTCCTTTGCGGATATCCTTGCCATCCTGGAGCCAGGCAAGAATCTTCTCGATCATCTCTTGTTCCAGGCGAGCCTTCTTGAGTTCGAGACTCTGACCACCCATGCGAGTCTTCTTCTTCTGGTTCTCGAGGGCCTTTTCAACGAATTCGATATCCTTGAGTCGCAGCTCCTCGCTGATGATATCGAGATCTCGCGTAGGGTTCACGTCACCCTCAATGTGAATAATCTCAGCGTCGTCGAAGCATCGAACAACTTGGAAGATGGCATCCACAGCACGAATGTGTGACAAGAAAGCATTGCCAAGACCGGCACCAGTGGATGACCCACGGGTCAGACCAGCGATATCATAGACAGTTAGGTTAGCTGGGACCCGAGACTTCGGGTTGTACTTCTCAACAAGCCAGTCGTAGCGCTCATCAGGCACGATGACTCGAGCTTCCTCAGGGTCAATGGTAGCATATGGAAAGTTCTTTTTGGCTGTCAGCACCCCAATTGCAGGACGGCGCGAGCGACGAGGGGCTTCATACAGCTGGGTTGCCTAGGTCGCACTTGGTGATGGCCTGGAAAAGAGTAGACTTGCCGACATTGGCGAGGCCGACCTGATATAGCTGATTAGCAGCTGTGTAGAGCTTGGAGAGGTAGGTCTGGCCATACAATTCCACTCTTGAGGTTGTTTCCGGGACGACCCAGAGGGATCTTCTCCTCAACGACGGCCTTCTTGGGAGGCATGCCTCTTGTTCTCGCCTTTGGCTTCGCGTAAAAGCGTACTGTGAGGACGGGATTATGTAGGTGGGTGAGGGGAGAGGTTGGAGCTAGGTGTCCAAGTGCTGCAGGCCGGGCTGCGCAAAGGGAAAAGGTACGACGTAGAGAAGTGAAGGAGCTTGGGGAAAGAAGAAGGGAGGGAATGATGATCCTTTTCGGCTGTTTCCAGCCGCGATCACAGCACGTGTGATACTTTGCAAGCTCCTCGAAATATTCTCAGGATGAAGTTCTTGATGGAAAGAGAACGATGATGGGGGGAAATTAGGTGAAAACTTGTGTTTTGCCTTAGCCTAATCGCGCTTACGGCGGGGTGGTGGAATCTGGCCGCGGATGTATAGATACGCCGATGTCCGTGCTCGCGCACGTGATCCTAAGACAATCATCCTCGCAGATTGAGACGAAAGACCTCGATAAGCATTGGTGGTGTTGTTATTCGAGAAACAAAGTTCGTTCTCTGCGTTCCTGTTAAAATGGAACAATTTATTAGAAAACCGACTTAAGCAGAGTTTCGGTGGTCATGTGAACAAAGATCCTGGTCCTGAGCCAGGCTCTGTAGTTTTATGGTTCCCATCCCATGCAGCATGAATGTCAGTCTCACTACCCCGGTATCCATCTACCCGCATACCGTTGTGCGTTAAGACTTGCACATGAGTCCTCCAGTAGAGGCATTGAAGGCCTATATTTATACATGGGTATTTCATTCTCTTTCGTCGTGTAATGTCCTGAAAAGGCACTAAGAGCAGAACACCTGCGTCAAGAGCTATCCGCGCTATGCCGGATAAAGGATTTCCCTACGTCAGGCACCACGCACCCCCAGTCAGGTTGCGCTTGAACCAGATCCAATCGGTGAGGCATGCAGTGTGGCAAGGGACGGCATTTGCGACGAGCGCCTTCCCCCCAGCAGGCAGACAGACAAACGATCCTACGCCGCAATTTGTTGACAACACCTGGGCATTGACTGGATATTCCCGTCTAGGACTGATGGTCGCCGACTAGCACAATTCGGAACCGGCGTTGTTCATCTGCAGCACTCCGTTTCCGTTCTCCATCTGATATATCGCCCGCCATACCCGCCTTTGGTTGGTTACATTCACCTGCGAGGTCTACCCTGAGACACTGTTCCGAATCGCTGCACAACTGCCCTTTCTAGCAACAATGGCCCCTCCGCGATCCAGCGCGGGCAGCAGCCGGCGGCATCGCAGTACGCTGTCTATGCAGAAGACAGAAATCCTCATCAATGTCTACGATCTGCTGCCGGTAGGTTTTGACTGACGTTTTGGTCTTCTGACTCTGCTTCCTTCCTGCCCCACGATCTCCCGTGCTAACTAAGTGTTTGTAGCCTGGACGACTTTCCTCTATCCTATGGACAGTCGGAGCCGGCCTCCTCCATTCTGCCGTCGTCATCAATGGGAAAGAGTATGCCTATGGCGGGCACGACCACAAAAATTTGACCGGCGTTTATTGGACCAGACCCAAGACCGAGCCTCCGGGAGGTACCTTCAGATGCGAAATCCTCCATGGATTCACCCTAGCAAGCGACGAAGAGATCGAAAACGTGATTCGAGAAGCGTCGGAAGAGTTTCAAGGAACGGCATACAATCTTCTCACGCGGAACTGCAACCACTTTACATCATATCTTTGCCAGAAGCTCACAGGAACACCTGGTCCTGCGTGGCTGAACCGTGCAGCAGCCATTGGCGTTGCATTTCCGTGCGTCGTGCCGCAAGAATGGATTGAGCCGCCCGACTATGACACCGCTGAGGGCGCTCTTCTGGGAGAGGAGCCTGTGGATGAGCGCGCGCGTATGCTTGGGAAATCACAAGATGCTCCACACATTCTGGGCAATGGATCACGCAGCAACGAAGAATGGGCTGGCGATAGCTATGGTAGTGGAAGTAAGGGTAAGAGACAGTATAGCGTGAGTCAGACTTCTCTAGGATAACCGGCGATGATGGGTGAGCGCAGGCCTTTCAATTGGCTTATGCGTCACACTTTGCTCCCTTGACATTTTCTTTTTGATTTCCTCCACCCATCACAGGACTGAGAATTTGGGTGTGTTTGGCATGGCGTTGGCAGGCGTTTCTGGCCTTGATTCAATATTAGATCACATGGGCCGTCTTGATATTTTCTTGGACATCGAAATAAAGCAACAGTGGTTTTTCGACTTTCCACATGGTTTATGTATATGGTACAAATTGTACAGATCTTATTACAGCAAACGCTCCATTATAGACGTCTTGGTCTTTTACTCCGTGTGCCACCGAACTTGATCCTGGTCGAATCGGCGACCCGGACGATCTTTTCTCGTAGAACCCTGCCTTCAGGGCTCATCAGAACTTTGATGGCAGCCTCACGACCCTGTCCAAACCCTCGAAGAACAACCTCGAGCCTCTTGATCTTCATTGGCCAGCCGTCGTGTATCAGTCGCTCGATCACATATTTCGTGAGAGAGTAGGCGGGGTCGAAGCCTCCACGTCGAGATTTTCGGTAGCCCAAGTTGCCGGCAGAGAGAGAGATGATTGGTTCTCTGTTGGGCCTCGTGCAGGTAATATGTGTATTGTGCTTGGTCGCGTAGATGTGGAAATGGTAAGGGTCGACGTCCTTCGTCTTGGGTACACTGGGGTTACCGTAAAGTGCGCTTGTATCGATGTGGGACGAGCTCATTGACTTGAAGACGGCACTTTGCGATAGAGCTGACATGGAATTGATCTCGGTTGGTACTGCATTCGGTGCTTCTGGATTTCCGTAGAGGTCCCGCAGCAGGCGTCTTGAAGTGGGCTTGTCGGTCTTTGGGGCGTCGTCCTCCTGTCGACGGGCGGTTTGCGTGAATGCCCGGATGCCCTGAAGAGGGCTACGTTGCGCGGAGGGACATGCCCCTCGGAGGAGACCTGACGTCGCAAAGCGACTCAAGAATGTCCGGCTCATTGTCGTGGAGGGTGCAATTGCGAATTTCTCGAGCTGATGTTGCCCAATTGCAATTGCACTTTTTCCTTGGTGGAAGTAGAAAGATACCTGGTACCTGGAACAGCCCAGCCGAGGTTCTGCCGCCTCTCCGCCTTCCCTTTCCCCATGGAAGCCGATAGATCTGATCGGGAGCAACCCCAAAAATTTGAATTGCCAGTTTGAGTGACTTGGTGCTTCTCGACTTACAACACCCGCCTCGTCTACCCCACGCCCACCAGCCTTCGGAAGGCATTTTCCCTTTTCCACAATGAACTCCCTTCTTCGAAATGCCCGTACCGCCGATAATGCTCTTGTCCGAGCATCCTTTAGCGTGAAAGGCTCTGCTGCAGGAAGATCGCCCGCCTATAGGAGGTTGAATTCGCAGTTGTCGCAATTGCCAAACCGAAGCACTTTCGGCACACAAACCAGAGCCCCCAATGGCGCAAAGCTCTCGCCCCTGCGGCCGCTGCTATTGCCGTCCGAACTTCGCCTGTCTCCTTCTGCTGCGCTCATGACCCGACAACTTCATGCAACCGCCCGATCCTACCAAGAGAACAAGGACAAGGTTGAGCCGAAGGCAACAGAGCCTGCCCCCGAAGAGAAGCCCAAGACCGATGATGCGGAGGCCAAGAAGCGAGAGGAGAGCGAGAAGACCGAAGAGGGTGAAGGTAAAGAAGAAGGAAAGGACGACAAGGCCAAGAAGGAGGATTTGCCCCCCCCACCACCCCACGGTGACAAGACCCCATGGCAGGTGTTTACCGAAACCATGAACGCCGAGTTCCAGAAGTCAACAGAATGGAACGAATCTACAAAGCAGATTGGTGCCGCCGCCCACCAGTTCAGCGAGAGCGAGTCAGTACGCAGAGCTCGTGAGGCTTATGAGAAGTCAACGGGCGCTGTGTCCTCTGCTGCCTCGGGTGCCATTAAAACCACGGCCGGAGCAATTGGAAAGGGAGCTGCCTGGACATGGGATACCTCTGTCGTCAAGGGAGTACGCAAGGCTGCCAACGTCACAGGTGATGCTTTGGATCAGGCAACTAAGCCGATCCGAGACACTGAGGCTTACAAGAACGTGAAGAACGTTATCGACGATGGTAGCTCTTCGCGCTACGGTGGCTGGGTTGAGAAGGAAGAGAGAAGAAAAAGGAGAGAATTGCTGGAAAAGAGCCGAGGCAGAGACGGCCAAGTCATGCAAGAGGACCCTGAGTAAGTCTTTAATCCCGGTTCCAGTACATTGCAAACATCAATACTAATAGCAACAGGGCTGGCACCAACATCACAATCCACAAAGATGCGGCTTGGAAGGAAGCCTGGAGAGATTTCCGCGATCAAAATAAGATCGTTCAAGGCATCTTTTCTATGAAGGATAAATACGAGGAATCAGAGAACCCTCTGGTTTCCACCGCCAGGAGCATCACTGACCGAATTGCCGGCTTTTTCGCCGAGAACGAGACCGCCATGGTTATCAAGCAATTCCGCACCATGGACCCCAATTTCCATGTCGAGCCTTTCCTTCAGGAACTTCGCGAGTATATCTTGCCCGAGGTCTTGGACGCTTACGTCAAGGGCGATATCGCAACCCTGAAGATGTGGCTCTCCGCTGCCCAGTTCTCTGTTTATGAGGCTCTCACAAAGCAATATGCCCAAGCAGGCATGAAGACGGATGGACGCATTCTCGACATCCGCAACGTTGATATTCTTCGCGCCCGCATCCTGGAACCTGGCGACATTCCTGTCTTTATCATCACCTGCCGCACGCAAGAGGTGCATGTGTACCGCAACAAGAAGACGAATGAGCTCGCTGCTGGTATGGAGGACAAGGTCCAGCTTGTCACCTATGCCATTGGTATTACCCGCGTGCCCGAAGATGTCAACAACCCAGAGACCCGAGGATGGCGTCTCATTGAAATGCAAAAGAGTGGCAGAGACTGGTACTAGTCTCTGAACGTTTTGCAATGTCATAATTACTCATCTACGACCGAAAGAAAAAAAAACATAAAAGCCTGTGTTAATATTTGTATAATAACTGTTGGATGATACCAGGGCTTTTGGGGCAGTATATCTGCGAGGATCATAGCTTTGTTTTTCCATGATCGACATGATCGAAACACCTCTCAAAGGGCCCCGGAAGCGGAAGGGGTTTATGTACTTTATGCATGGGTAAAAAGGAGTATCACGGGATAGACGTCAATAGAGCGCTCCGGTTTGTCAATATGAAGTCAATTATCTAATACCACTAAATATGTCGTGAGAGGTCGAGCTTGGTTGTGCGAAGCGCAAGAATTTGCTGTGTGTTTTCATCTTTCTGCTAGGCCTTGCCAGAGGGTAATATATAGCATTTAGCCTTACACTGTCGCATCATTGGGGAAATGGTGTAGGGGCATCACGTTTGTTTTGCATGCAAAAACATACACTACAAAAGGTCCGGGGTTCAAATCCCCGTTTCTCCATTTGCTATTATTTTTTGATCTTTTTTGTCATTTTGTTTATTATTGTTCGAACGTAGAGACGCGGGACTTCGGTCGCCTGCACATCGTAATAAATGTTCAACTTCGGTTCGCTTTTGCTGATCATGTCTCTGGCACAGCTTGCTACAGAACCTTGATCTTATAGAAGTAAGGGTGGGGCTGGGATTTCTTGATGCTTAGGAAGAACTTAAATTCTGAACGGAGTTATTTGATTTAGTAGTATGTATTTAGTAGTATGCATGGGCTTTTTCGTCGCTTTTGTGTTGGTTGTTTCAATAATCTCTCGGAAAGTCAAGTAGTGACCTCGGTGCGTGATGTCTCAAGTCACCGATGTTGCCGTTGCTCATTGGAAAGCGATAGACGCTTGTGGAAAGGCATCGCCGGCGGAAGATGCTGAAGTCGGCAAAGTGGGTAGCTCTGGGCGGAAATGGTGCTCAGTTACTTGCTACTTTCTCCGAACTTAACAGACATTAAGGTGCCTTATGTATCTGGTTTCGAAGAAATTACCTGTTCTAGCTCGCCTCGGAAATTCTTACCATCCGCCGTCAATTCCGCCGCCGTTCCAGCTCAGTCCCTCTCTCATGTTAAGCAGCACGTTGTAGCACAAGTAACCCCACCGGCAGCGGATCCCATCTCCAGCCCAGCTTAGCCGCATACCTTGTATTTAGTGCTTTACGCCCGACCATTCGCAATGAACTGGTAAGCACGTTGCCTTTTCGCCAACTTCGCTCAACACCAACCACCACAACCGAGTATCTGGATCATTTCGCCTTTGAACAAGAAATCGCGTCGTTGCGCCCTGTATAACCAGAAATTCTCGCGTATATTGAGCGTTTACTTTTCGCAATGGATAACACCGAGCAGACGTTTACGGACCCGGCGAAGTATGGCTTCTCCTCTATCTATCCACCTACCTTTCGTTGCTAACGTTCATCAAGGTCTCCTCTGTTCATTCCTCTGAACATCGCCCTCACCGGCCTGCTGGCCTACGTCGCCTACATGATCTTCTCGCGACCCTCGCCCAGCGCCCAGCTGCCTCCCCCACCCCCCGCAACCGTCTTCAAGACCTACACACCCCACACGCTCCTCCCCTTCAACGGAGAGGACGGCAAGCCGATCTTCTTTGCCGTCCGCGGTCGCGTCTTCGATGTGTCTCGCGGACGCAACTTCTACGGGCCCGGCGGCCCCTACTCTAACTTTGCCGGTCGTGACGCCAGCCGCGGTCTGGCCTGCGGCAGCTTCGACGAGGACATGCTGACCAAGGACCTGGACGGGCCCCTGGACACGCTGGAGGGGCTCGGCGCGGAGGAGATGGAGGCTCTCCAGGGCTGGGAGGACAGGTTTAACGAGAAGTACGAGGTTGTCGGCAAGCTGGTGTCGGTGAGCGATTTCAACAATGGCACAAAGGCGTAACATGGGTGTCAGCTGCCAAAATTGAAAAATACAAAATTTTATAAAAAAAACCGGAAAAGACAGAAGGACAAACTCGAAGGAAACCTGCCAAGAAAGGTGCTAGCTCTACGATATTATGGGATGGATATGGATTCTTTTCGTTTCATCATGATGTATTTTTTTTTTGACGCATTCCTTACCTCCGTGTAGTAGACATTGATTGATCTCCTTCATCTTCTGCTCGAACAGATGTTGGTGATGCTCCGGAGGCCTCGGGATGGTCAAATCCCGGCGCAGCGTTGATACCCCGCAAAGACGTAGAAATCCCGGTAATTTGCCTTAGAGTTGCAGCGGACTCTTGGCTACGACAGTTCGAGGCTTCGCGAATCGCAGGGTGTCTCCTGTTGTTGCTGTCTGTTGGCCCTGATGAGGATGAGTACAATGGCTTGCCCCGCACCATGCCGTCGGCTTTCTCGCTTTCTTCCCGGTCCCTCTGCTCGTGATTAAACAATTGCAATAAAGGCTCCTGAGCGGAATTACGTATGCTCCCTGTCTTGGCTGGAATAACTCCTCCCACTGCAGGGTCAAAGCAGGGTCCCGGCCACAGCCCCAGACCGCGGGCCAATAGACTGCGCGCAGGTGTGGCTTGGCTGCTTAGCTCAGCAGGGTTGGCAGCGCTGCAAATGGGCCTTCAGGTGGGCTCAGTAGGGGGCCATCGCTGTGGTCTCACTTACGTGGACGATAAGGTAAGGCCTGGCTAACTTATTAGTGTTGGCGTCCATCGTTCGGTGCCTCCCTCCTCCCCTGGCCCGTGTCCAGTCCCCATGCTCACGTTCAGATGTAAGGATGCACGAGAGTGTTTCGTGATCCCATCAAGAGACGTCTTCTGCGCTTAGAATCCCATCCTGGATCTGTTTGCTTAGCCCGCGAGCCAGCTCTGGGTCCCACTCTCTTTTGCTTTCCCAGTCTCTTTGATCGCACTGCCTCACCCGTCACTCATTCGCACCCTCTTGGGATCTGGACCGTCTCGGGTCCCATGGCCGTCAGCCATTCCTTGACTTCTCCTTCGACGATTGCGCCGTTGCGCATCCAGATAGCCCATCATGCCGCCCTCCGAGAAGCAGCCCTTTTACGATCCCATACCGCCGACATACGATCAGGCCTTGGCGGGTAGCAGTCGCCACGGCCAGACTTGGCCACCCCCTCGAACCCACAACGACGACGATGTATTAGAACAAACCGAAGCGCAGGGGCTGCTCCATCGCTCAAATGGAGCTGGAGGCTCATCTCGGCATCCTAATGGCTATCACCCGCCGACAGTCGAGTCCGATGATTCCGATATCGCGAGCCTGCTCGAGAGCGACACCGACGATGAGGAAGCCGCCCAAGTGAGGCGGGAGGTGGAGGAGATGGAGATTGAAGAGCCCACATCCTCGCGAGGACTCTCATGGGGTAAAAGAATAGGATTCGCTCTACCGCGATGGAAATGGTCCTGGCGACCGAGGCTGCCCCGGATATCATTACCAAGGATGCGAATTCAATTACCGTCTCGGCCGGAGGACGACGGCGAAGAAACAAGAGCAACAGAGGAGACCCGGAACAATGACGAAGACTCGGAATCAAACACACCTCCCCGTCGCAGCTGGGCCTTCCCCGGTGTCAACGGCATGGTGGTACTACTCATCTTTGCTCGAGTGCTGGCCGTCACGATTATATTCGGCTTCCTCTACCTCGTTTTCGCAACCGATTTCTTTAGTAGTTTTGGCGGCCGCATGAATGGGGGCTTTCGATTCCGCGCAGAAGATTTACGTGTCCACATTCTTGGGAGCGTGGAACCTAGAAGACTGCGTGCCTCCGTGCTGCACTTTTCAAAGTATGCGCACATTGCCGGTACGGAAGGTGACTACGCCACGGCCATGGACGTCAAGAGCATGTTCATCAAGGCGGGACTCGACCAAGTCTCCGTGGACGAATACGAGGTTTATATCAACTACCCACGCAAGGACGGACGATCAGTGCAGATTGTGGAGGGAGACAATGTCATCTGGACGGCCCAGTTGGACGAGATTGAACGAGGGCAAGAGATGTCGGGCCACCAGCCATACGCATTCCACGGCCATTCGAAGTCTGGTGATGTCAAGGGCCCCTTGATTTATGCCAACTATGGGTCTCGAGAAGATTTCAAGAGGATCAAGGATAAGGGAATTGACACCCAGGGAGCTATCGCCCTAGTGCGATACTTCGGCACACAGACTGATCGCGCGTTGAAAGTCAAGGCAGCGGAGCTTGCTGGTTTTGCAGGCTGCCTTATTTACACTGACCCGGCTGACGATGGATTTGTGAAGGGCGAAGTAGCTCCAAAGGGCCGTTATATGCCTCCAGATGGTGTCCAGAGAGGTGCAGTCAGTCTAATGAGTTGGGCTGTCGGAGACGTACTCACCCCAGGTTGGCCAAGTATCAAGGGCAAGCCGAGAATAAAGCCCAAGGATGCCCCTGCGCTGGTGAAAATCCCTAGTCTTCCTCTTGCATGGAGAGATGCGCAGGCTCTGCTCAAGAGTCTTAAGGGACACGGTGAGCGAGTGCCTGAAGAATGGAAGGGTGGCGTGCCTGAGGTCGACGAATGGTGGACTGGAGATGCAAAGTCTCCTATTGTCCGTCTTCGCAACGAGCAGGATGAAAACACCAAGCAGCCCATTTGGAATGTCTATGGACAAATTGTTGGTATGGAGCAGTCTGCCAAATCTATTATTATTGGGAACCATCGCGATGCTTGGTCCTTTGGTGCAACAGATCCACATTCTGGTACTGCTGTCATGATCGAGATGGCTCGAATTTTTGGAGACCTCGTTGCTCGAGGCTGGAGGCCGCTGAGAACTATCCAGTTCATGTCATGGGATGCCGAGGAGTACAACCTCATTGGGTCTACCGAATTCGTCGAAAACAATCTTGACACTCTACGTAACGACGCATATGCTTATATCAACCTGGACACTGCCGTTGCAGGTGACGACTTCCACGCCTCTGGCTCTCCTGTCTTCGAACAAACTCTTCTCCGAGCCCTCAACCGTATTGCAGACCCCAAACGGAACCATACCTTGAGAGAGCTCTGGAATGATAGACACGGAGAGCTCGAGGGACTGGGCGCAGGGAGTGATTACGTTGCCTTTCAGGATATTGCTGGCACTAGTTCTTTGGATCTCGAATTCCGTGGTGAAAAGTTTCCCTATCACTCATCTTACGACAACTTCGAGCTTGTCGAAAAGGTGATTGACCCCGACTTTGTCTACCATGGCTTGATGGCGCAACTTGTTGGACTTATTATTCTTGATCTCGCCGATCGGCTGATTGTTCCTTTTGACTTGGTTGCATACGGCCGCAAACTTGGCACATGGGTTGACAATCTGGAAAAATGGGCATCAGGGAAACTTGATGAGGGTGTATCTCTACCTTTCCAAGAGCTCAGGGATGCTGCTAGCCTTGTCGTCGCGAAGGCTGGCGATTTCTCTAAGTGGGAACAGCGGTGGGAGGAATTGACAGCACGGAATGGAGGTTGGGAAACAAGCGAAATCGGAGGGGCTCGAATGGACTACAACAACCGGATGGGTACCTTCGATACGCTCCTCCTGGATACCGAACAAGGCGGTGGTGTAAGTTTTCTTCTCTCGCGTCACAGTTGCCTTTGTACTAACATTGTGTGACCAGATACCAAATCGCAACCAATTCAAGCATGTGGTCTTCGGACCCCAACTATGGTCCGGCTACGATGAGGCCTTCTTCCCAGCCATCCGCGATATGGTGGACGAAAAGAACTGGGGCGAGGCAGAGCGCTTCATCCAGAAGACGGCAGGGCTCATTCGAAATGCAGCAGAGTCCTTAACGACATAAGAATTGTAATAGAAGCTGTACGATGTTTGAGACGTATGAAGATATCACCCTCCGCAAGCCGCTTGTTTCCCGGTCTTATTATGCACATGATTTTATTTTGTATTTCCTTACCCCTATCTGTCCCGGAGGCTTGGATTCTTGATAATCCATGGGCCTAGGCAGCGGTTATTTGGGAGTGCTGCAAACTTGGCTGCAGCGCACAAACACAACACACTCACGCACACACATTCGGTTTGGGCTGCCCACCGATGTTGAACTACGCATTTTGCACGGCGTTTCTGGACTGGTTCTCTTATTTTGGTATCTCACAACACCCGGCACCTAGAATACAGGTGACGCGGGTCCCCGACATATCTACCTTGCAGGTTTTCTTGGTCTTGGGTTAGTCCTGACAGGGCATTTCAAATATTAGCGGCTCGAACGAAGGGCTCGTTTTTCCTTATTGTCATATAGCTATCTTCTCCATCTCTGTCGTAATGTTTCTGTTTGTTCAAAGCCGCTGTTAGATAGAAATCAGGAGCACGTGTTCGTGTAGGAGACAAATGAATTGCAGACTCTTTCTTCTTCTCCTCTTACTTGATGAGCCCCCTCGCCGTATGCTGCCTTAGAAAATAACCCCCTTTGTGTAAGTCCTGGGCTAGCACTTCATTCACGTAACGTACACAAGACTCAGTCTCGCATTCAGAAATTAAACCTTTCGGTTGCCTTTCTTTTCCCTGATTTGAAATATACATATATACAACAATCTACGACGGCTTCACTAGTGATTCCAAATGCCGTCCTACTATCTAGACATTCTTTCAATAGGCAGGGGGGAAGGGGAAGTGTGAAAAGTAACACGCTGAGCTTGCAGAGGGAGGAACCGAGTGTGACCGGGGATTCGAAGAGCCAACAGACATTGATTGATGACGGTGATTTAACAGAATGGAAAGAGAAAAAGGTATAAAGTCAAGATGCTCCCCTCAGTTCGCGTCCAGAACCACGCCCTCAAACTGTCTACTGCGGATGTTCTCCAGGGTCTGGAAGAAGTGCTTGCGGCTAGCCTCGACGGAAGCCGAGTCGTATTGGTTGCCATTAAGGTTGGAGTGAATTAGTTCAATGAGACCGTTGAGATATTTCGTGGTCACCTGGATTTGATAGATTTGAGTTAGTGGGGGCTGCTTTCTAGGCTGGGAGGAGATGGGGCGGGAAGGGCTAACAGATTCGTTTTGCTGGTCAAAGTAGTATACGTAGCGGTCTAGGATCTCAACAAAGAGCTCGATAGATGTAGCTGTCTCCATGCAGGAGTCAGCCACTCGGAGAGCACGCTGTAGACATTCCAAGACACGTTTGCCATCGCGGTAGAGCTGGAACGAGTTAGTTGGCCAAGAGTCATTGCTACAATCGGATGGGATGTGACGAACCTCTGTCTCGTCGGTTTCTCCGTTGGAAACTGATGGGGTGGCCCACCAGAGGTGACTTGCCAAATAGACGGCACGGCACTGGTCTGGTTTGCGGAGCAGTTTGCTGCCGTGCTGAGCGCACTTGGTGATGAGAGTGTCGTAGTTTTCCCTGCCAAAGTTCCGGGTCTGGTGAAGGGCTGAGGCGATGACACAGACAGCCTGGAACTGCGCCTTGGAGTCGGTTACGGCCTCCTCATACACTGTGAAGGCTTGAGCGAAAAACTCGTAGGCTACCTCTTCAAATCCAGTGAGGTCGGCGGTTTGGCCGGCGTTACAGAAGAGACGGAGCGACATCTCGGCGGCGCCGGCACCATTTACACGTGTATAAAGAATACTGAGGGCGGAGTGGATGAATTTGAAAAGAGAATTGCTTTGGGTTTCCCAGTTGTCTTCGAGGTGTTCACGGATCTTGAACTGGCGAGCCAGCTTTAACGAGGCCGTAATCAATGGAGGGGTGGTGGTTCGGATGCGATCGTTTCCTTCCGCAAAGGCCTTGTGTGTCATCTGCAGCAGCTTGTACTGAGTGTCGTTGTTCTCGCCTTGGAGAAGGTGAACGATCCTTGCCAGCCATCCCTGCTCCTCCATCGTCTCATCCGTCTCGACAGCGCGTCTCGGAGGTGCGCCGGGATAAGTTTGAGGGGCTTGTGTGCCTTCCTTGATTAGTACGCTGAGAATCTCGAGCACATTCTCCAGTTGCTCAGGCTTGGATATCTTGGTCTGATTCTTCAAGAGCGTGCGAGCAACACCGCCAGCGACAGCCCGGCGGGTAGGGTATGTTTGGGACTGGAATAGGGAGACATAAGTGGGGAGCGACAGCGCAGTAAAGATAGAGACATATCGACTCAATGGCCCTTGGAGAAGTGCAAGAAGACTCTGCTGTGCGGGTGCGGAATGAAGATCGGCGCTGTTCATGTGCTCCTTGGTTTTGGTTGTTGCGTAGGCGAGAATCTGGTCTACATAGTCCAGTCGCTCGGGGTAGATATTGAGGGCGAGGTTTGACAGAGAAACCAACAGGGCGATGATGTCCTGGATGGGTAGATGCTGCGCTTCAACCAGGTTCTTGACTTGACCGAAGAACACTTCGTAAAGCTGCACATTCTGGGGTGTTGGCTCAGCTTCCTGTCCGTTTACTGCAGTCGCTTCGGTTTCCGCTACTGACGGGGCAGATTGCTCGGCAATGGTGCTGGCATCATCCTCCGTAGCAGGCGTTGCAGATTCCTCTGGCGTCTCCTTAGTTTCACCGTTCTCCTCCGCAGGAGCACCAGCTTCCTCCTCTGAATCGGTCTTCTTTGGCGCCGGCGCTGGCGCTGGGGGTGGTGCCTCCTTCTGCAGCCTGACCTTCTCAAGCAGATTAGCCAAAGCCTCCGACTCTGCCTTTGCCTTGTCTTCTTCCTTGTCGCCGGGTCCTTCGCGTTCCGCATATTCCGACAGACGGTCCATAAGCCCAATCACGATGGCTTTTACATTAACGTGGGGGTTGAGGCGCGATACGGCCCCCAGGAACTGATCGAGTGTGTGCAAGTGAAACTCATCAGGGAAAACCTGCGTGATGACCTCCAAAAGATATTCTTGAGCCAAAACGTCCCGACACTGCACCACCTGTTCCAGAAGTGGATCCAATATGCTGGCCTTGTACGTGGTCAGATCAACAAGTTGGCTGAGTCGCACAATGTTGCTGCCGACTAAAAGCTGCAGCTCCTTCCGCTCCCGCAGCCTCGCCTCCCGCTCGCGAGAGTGGCCCTGGTGTTGTAAGCGCACCCAGAGCTTGTTCATTTCGACAAAGTTGGTGAGGATGAAGTTGATTGAGTCGCTCAAGTTACCCTCTGGTCCATCGCCTTCTCCGGTTGGTAGGAAATCCCGGGCCTGGCCGGAAAGATAGTATCGCAGGAACAGACCGCGGATGGGGTGCTGGACACCGCGGCTCATGTCCATCATGTCCTTCATAAGCTCCTTGACGGGCGCATCTGCGATGGACATGTAGGCTGTGCCCACGGTAATCATGAGATAGAGTCGCGGGATGATATTGCCGGCATATTGGACCAATTCGTAGAGGTCGGCGAGGTGGTTGACCGGGTGGTTTTCGCGGAGATGCACGGAGAGGTATCGCAAGGCGTCAAAGACGGCCATGTAGAGCTCATAGTACTGTTTCGGTCCCAGGCTGCTAGTCCGTAGCTCGGAAACGAGTGTTGAGCTGAGGTAATAACAGCTGTTAGCTTGACCCAGCGCTGACATGAATCGGGGCGAGTCAGGTTGCGAGAGAACTAGGGACTACTTACCAGCATTTCAGGGCGTCCATAAGTTTCCCCGGGGTTTCTAGGCATTTGCGCATGAGCGAGGTCTGCTGGCGGACTGCGACCAAGGCATCCTCAAGCAGGCGGGCCTGGTCCTCGACGGGGGCTGGGGTCGTCATCTTGAAGCTTGCTCGGGGTGGTGAATGAGCAACGTATGCGGCTTGGAGCTGGCGGCGGGATACGTCAAGTTCTGTAGCTTCCGGGCCAGCTGATTGAGTCGCTCGCCTACATGGACATTGACAGGCTACTGTGGGGGTGCGAAGGTGAGCGCGAGACTCGAGGAAGATGCGATGCTTGGAGGAGGACTGGGGGGGAAGTAGTTTGGTAGAGGTCAACCCATGCGCTTGTGGCTGTGCGTGGTGACGACGGTAAGCGGGCGGTTGACAGCTCCAGCCTCCAGGGCCTCCAGGCAGCTGGTTAGCGGTAATTTGGGTGCCTGGCCTCTCAAGCCACACCACGCAACCACTGTAGTCCGCACCCGCATTAGCGGTATCACGTGCCGGTTAGCTCCTACAGCTATCAACAGAGCGCGAACCTGTTCTCTCCACCTTCTTGCATGGCCCAACCGTTGAACCGTTGTAGTTTGTAAACCAGCCACGATGGATTCCAGGAAATATGAGATGGTTAGTTATTCTATAAGGGCAGCTAGAGGGCTTATGGATTGTTTACATGATCAATCGCAATTGCATACCCCCGATGAACATAAACCGTACTCCTGTCTCGTATAGCGACAGCAGATATCTGCTTCCAGCTTGCTATCGATAAGGTCTTATCATCATGCATATGGCCAAATCATTGATATTGAGGTCTCTTTCTCGCTTGATAGCAACCATATTCACCAGAATATTTTGACGAAATTTAAACCAAGAACCAATTGTCCATTTTCTTCGTGTACCTACTTGAATTTGCACTTGCGACGAACAGTCATTAGCTCCCTGCTTTTGATTACCACCAAATCACACATACGACCTAAATTCACTCGCTACCCAAGAACTCCAAAAAAAATGCTACCCCAACTTCAAGTACCAATCTCAGAGAACGATGCAACCAATTCATGCTTAGTCCCCAAACGCCACATCATGTTAAACAGCTAAGCTGCAGTCAATATCGTCTTCACATCACCTCATCACATCATCGCCCCGGATGGCGCTCACTCCGTCTTGCCCGTCACGGCGGGAATATCCAGCTCGTTCAGGAACTCGATCAGGGACGTCTCAATCGACGCCGAGAATGCCGCAAAGATGAAGGTCGTGTTGTTGGTGGGCGTCGGCACCGCGGTCCTGGAGGCGACAATCTCCAGCTCCTCGAGCGTGCCGACCTGCGCCAGGTCCCTCACCCACTCGAGGACCTCGTGCCGCGTCGCGTACAGCAGCCGGAGGTCGGACACGCTAAGCTCCTGGGGGCCCTCCCACTCCCGCCGGGGGAGCCCTCCCTCGATGACGAGCCGGAGCCTCCTGAGCTTGGGCAGCGCCGCCAGCGACCGGCAGATGCTGCCCCAGTCGCACGAGTCCGTCTTGGCCGTCGACGCCAGGCCGCTCTTGTGGAGCGTGATGTCCCTCACCAGCGCCCTCGTGGACCACGTCTTGTCCTCGATGAAGGGGCCCACGGCCTCCAGGTCCTCGCCGAAGTGGAAGGCGTGCCGCCCGTACAGGTGGTGCGAGGCCTCCTGCCTGACGCGGCGGTTCACGGCCAGGATGGCCGGGTGCAGGTCGGCGGTGCCTGCGAGCCCGTAGGTGGCCTCGTAGGCCCGGCAGTAGAATGTCCGCTCCAGGACATTGTAGCTGGATCTGCGCAGGGCCTTGGGCCGCCCGGGCTCCTCCTTCGGCTTCTCTCGGCGTTGGTTCCGTATGGCAATTGTCTTCTGGCCGCTGTTGTCGAGCAGGAGGTCGTATATTAACATGCGTATCTCAGCAGGGATGTTGAGGAAGGTGGGAGCTCCGTCCATGGTTGTTGGTACCTCTTATCAGGTGGGCTGAAGCCGCGTATCTTTGTTGGGCTGGGGAAAGTAGAGCTCACTGGCAAGATGGGGAAGAAACAAAGTTAAGCTTAGAGGAGGGCGCGAAGCAAGAGGGGGAATCAAGGTAGGATAAGGAGAAGATTCGGGATCACCTGCCAGCACACAGGGACAAGGGGCGTCAGCAAGTGTGAGCTGATTAGGGATGCGTCTTCTGAGGGAAGCTTCTTCTTACGCCATTTCTCTGGCTGATGGCAGACCGACCCCACGGGCGCGGGACTCGCTCGTTGGGAATGGATCGATCAAGCTCCCGCTCCCCTCCGAATCGATGCCAAAGCCGGGTCCTTGATTTCATGCAAGGTTCATGACTCGCCCCAGCCTTCTCACCTACAGCTCAGACGGCGTCCCGAACCTGCCCGACAAGTGTTTAGATAGAGCGGACGGGACAAAGAGGTCCATCCTGGCTATCAAGGTGCACGGCCGGCGTATTTTTTGGGTCCGTGCCAAGCTCAACCCGACTGGCATGGATTTGGGTGACGGCACCTGCAGGTGCATGCGCTCGGAATTCGGCCCTGCAGGGCAGTCAATCATTCATGCCGTTCGCCTAGGAGCGTCCCGTGTTGCTTATTCTGCAGGGCCAGGCCTCTTGTCTCGGGGAAAAGACGGCCAACATCCGACATCGACATGAAGAGTCTCATGTCACAAGCATCACCGCCATTCGGCCCCCCTTTTGTAGGCCACGCCGCAGGCTCATCATAGAGTCGCAATGTAAGCTTCAGCTAACAACGTAATTCCCAGGCTGATTCTCGTAAATCCTCCTGGCTGATTGGCCTGGGTGATCTTGGGGAGGCACTAAGAGATTCGCGACCGCTAGTTCAAATTTCAAGCCTCAGCCTTAAGTCATGTCGCAATGGGTTGATATCGGTGTAACCCGGCGTGAGGTGACAAGGCGATGGGCTCACGCAACAAAGGTCCTTGGCATCGGCAGGATTCGATCGTCGCATCCTTTCCCAGCGTTGCAGAATTTCTCGAAACCCCAGCACCCTATAACATACGATTCTCTACGTGTTGTTATCACAACGCCCCGATTTACAGTGGAAAACGGGTGATGGTCGTTTATGCGATAGGGTCAAATCGGCCCCACGGCCCCATGCACGTGTGTCAAGTGAGTTGAAAGATAACGGGGATAACGATGGTAACATAGAAAAAAACCGTAAGTAGTCCTTGTATTGGATTATATCTCAATTTGATATACCTAAAAATACTCATTGCCCAAATTCAATCATCATGTCCGAATATCACTCGCTTATTTTGCTGTTCTTTTTTCTATTGATGTCACAAAACCGGTTTACCACTCAATGACACCCTTCGGGAAGTACTCGTTGATCAGCTCCATGTAGTAGGGCTTGAGAGTAGCGGTGTCGGGAACACCGTCGCTCTTGCTGTAGAGGTCGTAAGGGTTGAATGCCTTGACGGCCTTGAGCATCTCGTGGTCCTTGGCCACCATGAACTGGTGGTAGGCGCCCTCGCGGTGCCAGGGGTAGAAGGAGTGGTAGCGGATCATGGCCAGGGCCTCATCGGGGAGGGTGGACTGGTCCTTGACGACGTGGTAGAGGTACTCGTCGTGGCCCCAGCTGAGCATGATGTTGTCGAGGCCGCAGCCAGGGGTGTAGATGCCGTTGGGGGTGCTGTAGATGGGGTCGTTGACGTCGGGGTTGGCGGCGAAGGTCTCGGGGAGAATGATGCGCTTGTCGAAAGCGCAGCCGACGGGGAAGGTGTCGCCAACGACGTCCCACTGGCCCTGGGTCTCGAGCTCGGGGAAGAAGAGCATGAGCTTGCCGAGATCGTGGATCAGGCCGGTCAGCTGCATCCATCGGGGCTTGCCGTCTCGTCGGATGGCCTCGGCGGACTGGAGCAGATGCTCGATCTGAGACAGAGAGGTGTCGGGGTCGGACTCGTCGACGAGTGTGTCGAGCTTCTCCATGGCCTCCCAGATGGTCATCTTCGGGCGGGGTCGAGAAGAGCTGTAGAAGCGGTTGCGGGCGGCCAGGTTGTAAGCCACGGTCTGCTTCTCGTGCTGCTCCTTGTAGAAGTTCTTGACGCGGTCGCAGGCGTCCTCGTACTGGCGGAAGGTGTTCTTGTCCTTCTCGGCATCGAACTTGGACTCCTCGTCATACTTGATGACATTTACCTCGTCAATGGCGTCGGAGACACTGTCCATGGCCTTGCCAGAGGGGACATTCTCGACGATGTCGGCAGTGGCGACTGGTGCCATTGTAGCAACTGAGTGTGTGTGTTTTGGTGTTTTGGTTTTGAGATGGAGATTGAACAACAAGGAAGACAGGCTGACTCTGCTCGCTCAGGTTGGCTCAGGTGTTGCTTGGAGATAGAAGTGATGATTGAAGTGATCAACCCCGGATTTCAACGTCGAGGTTGTGCCCTTTAATATCCCATCGATGGGGGAGGCTGCCCCAGGTCCCATCTGACGTCCATCTCCCATCTCAGAAGCCATCGCCGAGTCTCCGCAGTGAAGAGCCTTTCAAAATGGAGACGGATGAATGGTGGCCATGATGCCCGCTTGGCCGGTGGTGATCATTAGTGCTGTTCTGTGGAGAGCGCTACTGCGAGGGGTTCGCGAGGCTGGTCAAACACGGTAAGCGGCGCCGAAAAGTCTCGAGGTCTCAGCACCATCTGGGAATCCGCCGCCGGCCACTGCCACGTCCATCGCTCTTGTGTCTGACGTTGTCTCTGCTTCCCCACAATCTTGTCGACGAAGCACCAATGATTTCCCACGTTTTCTCATCAGCCTCCTCTGATCTCATGCACGGGAGGTACATACGCATATACGGACAGATTAAGCTGCGGCCAATCTCGATACGCAACAGATCATGACCGCATCGCATTGGCAGGGACCAGAGTCTGTGCCCCATCCACTGACCAAGGACTCATTACCCATCAAGCCCCGCGTCATCTCCGCAACCACCATTCACTCCTCTCGTCAGGGTCTCATGCTCAAGAATAGGTGGTGTGGGGTTCAATAAAAAAGAAAACAACCACCTCTTGTCTCTTTCCTCTCCCAATTGGCCCAATTGGATCGTATACAACATCGGATATACCTGCCATCTCCCGCAGGCATACAATGCAACAGCCCTGGCTGGCTACAGTTCCAATCATGGGCTCTGCTCGCTCCTCGTTGCCTCACGTCTTCTTCCACGATACCCAACATGGGACATTTTCGCCGACTCTGGGCCCTGGGGTAGTGGGTTGAGAAGCTAAAACCCCCACCTAGAATGACAGCTCGGCCGGTGCTGGCGTAGGGATTTTTTTCCTTCTTCGGATCGTGTTGGGCAAGCTTCCCGAGCCTAGACTTTTTCTCCGACCTGGTCTGACACGTTCTAGTGATCACGGGAACAGGTGCGACAATGACCTACTGCCGCATGCCATGTCGACGTGGCGAACAGCTCCTGATCAGGGGCAGCTCATAGCCGATGTTTACCTATTTTTGCCAATTATTTTCCCTTCTCGAGCAAGGGAGGTGAAGATGTAACACAGCTGAGACCAGGACCGGCCACCGGACATCTGTCGTGGCCGGAAAGCAGGCCCCAAGGCATCATATGCCTTTTGCTGGTCTAGTCCCCGATGAATCACCGCTTGTCCCATTGTAGAACTGCTTCTAGGCCTGGGATTCGTGGGGTTGTCAGCCACGGTGGGAGCGTACTGCACTAGAAGCTGTGGAACCTGTCTTGTCTCATCGACAAGTCCAGCTCTTCCCTGTATTCCACAGGTAGCCCGTAAATGGAAGTTCCTTCATCGCAAGGGGTCGTGATTTGCTTTGAAATGGCAAGACAGTGAATGGACTCATCGGTCAGATGCCTTCGGTGTATAATGAATGGGTAGGCATGTGACCACGCATTCAGCCCCCTTTCCGAAGTATTCCGCTACAGGCCCTCGTCAAACCTAGCACAATCATTCCTCTGACTCACTTCTCCTCTCTGGCTTCGGTTTTTCTGATCAAGCGAACTCTTAGAGATGCAATTGAGATAACAAGTCTTCAATTTGCCACTTCCATGTCCAGACTCGTTCAAATATGAAATCAAGTGCTGCTCCCCGTCAACAAAAAGTTCAGCAGCCAAGAAGCCTCGCAAAGATGTGCATATCAACTTGTTGGCACGGCATCCGGGCTAGTTCCATTGAAGAGAAATTGCCCTAGGCCCGGTATGCGGCTGCTCCAATTTCCAATATCGGGGCAGAGACAAGTCGGGATTGCTTGAGTAGGCACTTCTTTCCTTCGCAAGTTCAAACCCATTTCGCCATGCGAGAGCATATGTCCCTTCCATAGCGAGCCTATATCCAAGCATCCATTGGTGCTGCAATTCTCGCTCTCACTGTTCGGTCTCTAATTCCCGCTGGTCTCGTCTCCGCCGACTGGACGTATTTCGAAGTGGTTCCACAGTCAGTGTGTGATGTGAGACCGACCTTACGGGCGTACTTATCTCCAGCATACATTGTCGATCATGAGGAAGCCCTCCCGTTTTTCCAATGCTTTCAAGATCTTAATCGATGTAATCAACCGCCAGAAGATGCTGTTAATCATGTGCGGCTGTTATGTCAAGCATCATGGAGCCGTCATGTTGTTCTCGAAGCCCACTAGATTCCATCGATACATCCCCCAAATGGCCAGGACTGTCCATCCTTGACTGGGAGCTCAGTCTTTGAGGGAACGTGCATCACCAGATATCCAGGGTAAGCAAGTGATAGCCGGTGCCATCTGCCACTTCTCTCCAGATCAGGCAAAGCAAATAGCCGCCTTTGATAATTGAGCCAACAAAATTGGCCACGTCAATGGATGACGTGCATAGCCGGTGCTATAACGCTATGCACCGTTGTACATGAGTGGTATATCGGATGTTACGAGCAAGCGCACGATGATTCCGGCCGGAGGCCTCACCAGTGCATACAAAATGGCAGGGGCATGACTTTGTGGCAAACCCTTGAAGTCCCAGTATATAGCTGGCGTGGCTGGAACCTACTGGACGTTCTAGTGCTTAATTGAGAAGTCCAGACTCTCGACTTCGGCTTGTACCTTCAGCTTCACTCGAACACTGCGCAACATGCCAATAGACTAAGTCTTGGGTGCAGTACACTGATACCAGGCCAGCTCCAAGGGATCAACAGGGGCTCTCCACGGCGTCGACCTCTGGATCACTTACAGCATTATCAGCCAGCAGGTAGAGACAGTACAAGTATCATCTCATCATGAGTGTGGCACATACGGTCCACCAACACGAATATGCAAAAGCCGATTCGCGAATCTTTCTCCACGATTTCTGAGCCGAAACCGAGCGTACACATCTCATGCCGGCAATACTTGGTGGCAGATACTTTGAGAATTGGACCTAGGAACTTTCAGTCTCGTAGGTCACGCCGCGGGTTTGTCGATCTAAAGATTAATCATGCGAATGTTCACGAAGGTTATAGTTTGGGTGCCCCCTTGACATGGTACCTTAGAGCCACATTGTTCCATTTTGCTCGCCAAGGTTCCCATGTCAGCTCTCGAGCATTGAGAATACAACCTTGACCAGCTCGTAAATGCTGGCTCCCCGGGATTATTAGTGAGGCGGAGGAAAAAGAAAACATACTGAGGGAACCGTCTCCACCGCTCGAGGAAAGGGACAACAACGGCAACATACCGAGAGAGTTAGGGTGGCGCCGCAACTCAGGGCTAAATGATCCTGGTCAGTACGAATAAGAAACCAGAGATCCAGATCCTTCTACCTACGCCGCATCGATGAATCAAAAGCAAAGAGGGCATTTCAAATTGACGCCTGAGAAATCATTGTTTGGCGCCCAATGGGTGAGCGTATGATTCAATGCAGCAAGGCTCAGCTCAGACCGCATCATTTCCGGCAGGTGTTTGGCGATGGGCGGAAACAGCCTGTGTCGAAATGGAGGGGGGGTCTGCAATTGGTACCCCAAATTGCACATTGCACATTGCAGCCATTCGATTCTGGGTTTTGCTCCTTGGGCAATCTCAGCACCTTATCTTGGGCAATGAAACCAAAGTGCCCTGGAGGGCTATCATCATCCTGGGCGCACGGTTCTTCTGGAAGGGACATAGCAGCATCAGACTGATCCAGAACTGACGACGCTACGTCTTTCCACGATCTGCTAACTCTCGGATTTAGCCCCGACATGGAAAGATCAGTAGTAAATAAATGCAATCGGCGGGGATGAATGTCTCATGGACCTTCGACTGTGTGGTGAATACACACCGCTGCCGCCACCATTCGGATTGAGACATGACGCCTGCATGCTTGACGGGAGCTTGGGAGCGCTTTGGGCAAACCCAACATGAGATCCCCCAACCACCCAACCCGCTCGCTGACCACTCACCTGTGGGAGTAGGTTTGTGTAACGCAATAGCTTGGGGGTTAGTATGTCTAATCGGGATACGCTAACTCTCTCTATCTAGACCTACATGGCATATAGAGACCAAGACGTTGTCCGAGTCGTGATCATGCACATTTGTGTTGTCGATTACACTAATCATGTCCGAACGGCGGGGAAGCAGATAATACCCACTTGACCTAGACAAGCTTGCAACCTGGAGGTACGTGCTATTGTTCATGGTGGTTATAGTGTTGTTGGTGCTTGGTGGTGGTATTTGCACACTGCATGATTAGTTGGGCCGAATCATGCTTGTCCACCTGGACGAGTGGGTGTCATCATCCGTCGCTATCGGAGGGTGCGGAAGCATGGTGGCCACCTGCAGCCATCCCAAAGGTCGGTCAATAAGATAGTTATCTTGAGCATCGGCAATTATCGAAACCTCAAATCGACAAGAAAATATCACGACCTCTCTCTGAGTGCCTCGTATTTATTTCAGTAACCGAAGTAGAAACATGGCCCGCTAAGACTTGTCAAAGGACAAGCGGCAGCACTCGAAAGGCTGAAATCGTCAACACATGTATACTTGGGTAAGCTTTTAAACCAGAGGGAGAGGGGGGGGAGAGAATTGTGCTCGCGCGGTGCAGCACTGCACAACATACCTTTTTCGTGGATGTATCCTTCGCTCCGCTCTCGCTATTCCGCGCCGGGGAAAGAGGAAATAATATACGTGAAATCCCCGGCGAGGGGCCGTTGGAACCCAGAGCAATTACCCACAACATCCAATAAACGCCGTCCGGAGTTGTCCGGGCATCACCGGCCAATGAACAGACTTGCAAAGCCTCAACACATCCAAGAGATGTACGTGGAAGGAAACGATACAAAGGGGGGGTGAATTGGGCTTGAGGGCTTGGGACACCAATGCTCCCGGTATTAAGATGCAACAAAGATCTCAAGTGCCCAATAAGTTGGCCGTCAAAAGATCCGGATAAGAGGCTTGCCGAATGGAAAAAGTCAAGACATCCCTGTCGCCATCGCGACAGACGATCCCTGGGGCGTTCAAACAAGATGAAGCTATCACCTAGTCTCAGGGGCAGATATTGTTTGGGGGTGAACTGAAAAACTCACCAGACGTATATGAAGGTGCGTGGTGTGTATGAGCGGCACGCATGCGCGTATATGTGTGCATACATGGTTGTGTACAGCACTCCTGGTTTATAACCACTCCCCCTTTGAGGCTAAAGTGTCGATATTGCTTTTGCCTGGCTTTCAGGCAACTGGTGTTAGTGCCAGCTCCTCTAGGCAACATCCCTGTACCAACATGTTGATCGGCCTGCTGCTCAGCATCCTGTCTGCGGCCTCTTGGGTCGGATTGCGTCAAAGGTTACCATGGCCGTAAGCTGGGCCGAGTAGCTCCCCGAGCCTGTGTCGTTGGGCTGGCCAATCCGTCGCGTCTCAAGGCTCCGCACGGAATTCCTCGAAGCGTGGGCTTGCAGCGTGACTGCTGCAGGATCCCAAGTAGATAGGCCAAAGCATCGAACATTGCATGCAGAGACACATGCGCGCGGACGCACGCACGCACTCCTCTGCCTGCCGAAACAACCCCATCGCCAGGCTCTGAAGCCGAAGAGACAGGCCATGGACAATAAGGATAAGTGAGGCCCCCCTCCAACTCACCGGTGGGAAACCATTGCCTCGTCTGCTTGGGCCCCTCGTCCCTTCCATTGCTCCTTCCTTCTCCCCTCCTTCCCTCGCCATCACTCCAGTTGGCAGCTACAAACACCACATCGCACCTGCTTCAAGTCTCAGCAGGCCCGGAGCAATCCACCCAAGTAACGTCCAAGCACCAGACATCAGTCTGACCGGTCTGACCGGTCTGGCCTGCTGCCCGGTTTGCGGGCCGTTCTCCGGTCCCTCATATCGAGCCCACGGTGTGGTGCAAAGGCTGCCCCGATTCCTGGTGCTGTGGTCATTGCAGCCTACAGGTCTCTAGCTCAAGCTGCGCCGTCTGCCATCTCTCTTTGTGGCCTTCTAGTTCAGGTAGGCAGGTAAGTCGCTACCTCCCCGGGGCACCTTAGCCCAAACAAACCCCCACGTACCTACTTAGCTAAGGTGCCTCCTAACAGATCCCCCGATGCGGAATAATCCTCATGCTTGCCATCCGCCTCAATGGATGCTCGCCACGTCACAGCCAGGTGACCACTGCTACGGTTCACAGGCGAGCCAATACTCATACGCTGGTACTTCAGGGCCCCTGGAGGCTATCTTCACTGTTACATCTACCCCGACAGCTACCAGCCCACCAGAGTACCGCCGTGTCTTTTTCGAGGAGACAATCCCCCTCCAACGCGAAGATCCCTACACACCCATATCGAAACATTCCGACCGTCCTGTCGCCTCGACTCCCTCTCCTCCATATGATGAGTCGTCTCGGCAGACCACTATATCCGTCCCCGTCACTGACAACTCATATGTCGCGAACTATGTGACCCCCATTCTAGAAACTCCAACGAGTGACGATGCCCCTAAACGATGGCATGGCTGGCAGGCCACACCAACCGGCCACCCACATGTTTACTACAATCAATATGCCTCACTTGCAGATTCCCCATTTCCCATCACTCCTCAACAAGAATCATCGTCGAAATTACCACTCTCGACAGTGGAGCCGATAAAGAAGAAGAAGAAGAAGCGTCGAGGTCCGGAACAAAATAGGGTAAACCCACCACACGCTCCCCACCCTCGTTCCCCCCAGCGACCTAGAGAGATTCCCAGAACCGGAGGAGACTCTACCTACTTCAAGGACGACGCAGCTCGCCAGCGAGCCCTGGAGCGGAATCGCCTGGCTGCCAACCGCTGTAGACACCGTCAACGCCGTCACACTAAAGCCCTGACAAGTGTCGAATTTGAGGTCGAGGACCAACACAAGTATCTGTCCGGATACCTCCAATCCCTGAGCAACGAGGTGTTAGATCTTAAGTCAGAATTGCTCCGCCATACGAACTGCAACTGCACTCTGATCCAGACGTACCTCGGCTACGAGGCAATGGCGTCCGTCAACAACAAGGTTGGGGCTTACCCGAACTATGGCACCAGCGCCGCCAGCAGCACGGTCGAGTGCCTAGGCCTTCTGAGCTCGGGAGCCAACAACGGCCCGAGCCATTGGGTAAACCCACACGCCATCTCGCACCAACCACAGCCAACCCTTCTCGCATCGGCAGATCAATCTCATTCCGCGGATTTTATAACGGTTTCTAATGTGATTAGTTCAGCAGAGCCCGCCGCGCCGAACACAACCCAACTACCACCTCAACAAGTATTCACTACGAACAGCAGTCCCTACACCACGTCTGGGGTTTATCAGCAATCTCCTTACAACAACGGGTTGTGGGGGCCTCAATAAATCAGTAATGCCGAGATGGCAGTGACATTTCTGGGTCCCGGAAATTGGTGGGCTACTGTCAAATCCTACACATCAATAGCGTATCCGTAGTATAAGTGGGTGAAATAAAACATGGCACAACAAAGCTCTTTTCGCGCAAGGCAGAGACCTCTTTCTCATATAACTAAACACGTTACCATGTTGAAATTCAACGCTGACCTAGATTTGCCCTGTTTTATGCCAATTGCTTGGGTACGTATGTCAATAATTTTAGTTTACGCCATTCACTTTCAAGCATGTGGTAGTGATAACTCGTTCACTTCGTAATAATTCTATGCCTAAAGGGGTATAATATTCTCTGTCTCTCAATTACAGTACCACGTATACAAAATTCCTCGCTCATCAATCTGCTAGTCGTATTGATGACTTACAAGGTTGTGTGTGTGCGCCAAAACTGAAGCCTTGAAAAGGAGAAAATTTATTCATTGAAATCCATGAACATGTCGTCAAAGTTCTGAGCCAAGCTATCCACATGTGAACCCACAGCATCGGAAAGGCCCAGATCAAGGTCGACGACAAAGCAAGCCTCTGTCGGTTCCATTGCATAGCTGTGTTCACCGTCGTTTCCTGACTGGAATTCCCCAATCTCTCGGCATGCCTCCTCTTTGGTGATGAGGTTTCCCATGACGGCCATCAAAAGAAGGCCTTTTGCAATGGATTTCACCAAGGGGGATTTTGGGTACAGACTCTTGTAGCCATACAGACAGCGCCAAAAATTCACCCGTGACGTCGGGTTAATCACATCTCGTATCACCGCGTTGGCGACAAAGAGACACCCGGTATGCCAGAGAATCGAGAGTTCGGATGCATGACTAAAGTTGGCTTGGTACAGGCTAACAAGTCTCTTGAGCTGGTTCGAGGAGGCATGAAGGAAGTCCTTGGCGGGTCTCTTCGAGTCAGAGTCCAGAGTAAATGCAGAGTCATCGTTGAACAAAACCAGTGGCCGGAGAAGGGTAATGCTTGCAGCGTGGAAATAAATGCTATGAAAGGTCATTTGTGAGCCGTCAGTGACGCAAAGCACGGAAGACATCATCCTTACTGTAGTATAGCACCTTGGTGTGTAGTCTTGTTTCCCCTTGCAAGGGTGAGCGGCAGGCAGCTTCCCCAATCGAGGAGTCGGCGGAAAGTCGTCTGGGCGAATTGGACATCATAACGATTGGCCTCTGAGATACGTTCTGGCGAGAAGTATTCGCGCAACACATCGTGAACAATGGTCCAGAGCTGGCAGAGATAATACAATGTCGTCGGGTTGTTGGATGCTGGGATTGGTAGCGTGGGGGGGCCAATTGACCACAACTCACACTTTTGGCAGTGCAAGGCATGCAGGCTGCATCTCAGGTCAGTACGTTGTTCGAGGTGAATGGTCGACCAAGATGTACATACGTGGTATGGCAAAACAGACCCCATGCAGCTGATGAAGCTGCCTTCAATTCATCAGTGTCATAAACTCGAGCTGACTTCGGAGTTTTGTCGCCGCTGCTCAGCAAATCTAATCGCTTGGCCATGTCGATGCCATCAAATAACAGCTTCTTCGCAATTGGCCCTTGACCGGAGAAAGTCGCTGCTAGGCTGAGGAGTTGCAGGCCTGCTACTGCGGGAAATGAATCACCCATAGAACCTGTGACCCATTGGCCACGGGCCCTCGAAAAGAACTTGCTGCTCTCGGATGGCCCTCCGGGGGACTTGGGTGGAAGATATTGGAGCTGGATATTTCTGGGTCAGATCGAGCACAATGCAGCTTTGAAGGGTGCGGAATGGTCATACAGATCCCCAGCTCAGAATCGCATTCACGAGAAAGCTGGTACAGAAACGCTTCTGTCCAGTGAACATGTCCGCCAGAAATAAATCATGGTCAAACAAGCCGAGTACCGGGTGATCGACCTCCAGGTATTTGGAGATAAGCCGAGCCGCGTCGAGGCTATCTATCGTCACATCGGTCCAGGTAGAAAAGTCGACCTTCTGAAGTCGAGGATCAAACAAGTTCACGGGCTGGGGCCTAGGAAGAATAGTGCTGCTGGACGCTTGATGGGGCCTGGTACAACTTGAGGAATCAGCATTGGCAGGAAATCGCACGTTGTACCTTCCTTGAGCAACATACCCCGCTTGAGCAGCATCGGCACTATGAGATGACGAGGAACCCTTCTGCGACAGCAGGGTTTTGTCGAGCGCAACTGATGCTGGAAACAGCAGAGAATGGCGCGTCATCAATTCGAACTCGAGACTGTCTTGGTCCGGAGCCAAAGCCAAGTCCGTGCCGCGGGTGTCCTCGAGAAGCCTTTCATCACGCAGTGTTTTCAGATGCTTCAGGGACTCGGGGTAATTGTTTCTGTGCTTGATGTCGGACAGCAAGGTCATTACCTCCTCTTCGGTCAATGCAGAAGTCAGCAATGCCAGCAACTCGTCGGACTCGGTCAGCTCATCAGCCTCGGCGGGCACACCATCAAAAGTGCACCCCGTGCCTCGCTTAAGGCATGCGGCGCATACTGGTCGCTGATTGTCACACTGTTTTCTCGTCGCCTCGGTCAGTAGCTCAACAGTCCGCAACGAGGAATGTACCAACCTTCGTTTTCTTCGTTCTACAGGTGTCACAGGCGGTCTTAACTTGCTGTCTCCGTTGCCGCTTAGAAGGGAACGGAAACCCCTCGCCTGCACCACCACCGGGCGCCTCTTCAGTTGGTTGTGATGAGGAAGGAGGTGCCGGCTGGATATGCTGGAATGTACGACTGTTATCCATTTCCTGCGAATCGGGCATCGTTTCGGGCTAGGCTTTGTATCCTTGCAGCAACCCCGTGGCTGGGAGGGGAAATGCTCTCTAGGAAATCGCGAGGTGAAGGGGGCCTTTTTCTAGCCTCACTCGAAGATGGCAGCGACATTTGGAAATGCCATTTCTCCTCATTTGAGCCATGTTTCAAAGCCTCGGCCTTCCAGATGGGGCTGAACGGGGTGTTGGGTGAGAAAAGAAAGGCTTGCTCATGGGTCAACCGAGCGCTCGATGGCAAGAGTCCCAATGGTACCCGTGGATCGAGTAGAGACAAAGTCTTGCATATCGACAACCAAACAATCCACCTACCATTTTCAAGCGCTCTAACGAAAATCTAGGGACAAAAACCTATAGACGCCAGCCACAGACCAGGGAGGGAGCAAGCTCTGACCAAGGAGTGTATCCACATCAATAGGTTTGGTTTTCCAGAACAGTCAGCTTGCATCCATCACATCGCCAACAAGGCGATCCGGTTGGCCGACTGCCTAGTCTCGAGACGTCGCTTTGCTTTTTTTTGTTGTGAGAAGTGATTGACCATGGCTTAGGGTACGAGCTGATCGGACGTTTTGGGTCACCGTCAGACGTCCATCGTTGTGGCAAATCGGCAGCGGCACATTCCAATCATGCCCATGGTGAACAATAATACTAGATGCAGAGTAATCAATAGCCCCAGTTCGAGGCGCTGTCAGGTGCCGGGACGCCACGCGAATCAGCTGCCTAGCGAAGAATGTTCCGAACCAATATTTCCCCTTGAGACGGATAGAGCCGTATGCGTAGGGCGCACAAAGGGGGGGGGTAACTTAGACAGAGGCCTACAAGGTAAACGGGACTTGACGCGAGGTAAGGCCGAATACGCAAGAAAGAGAGCGCCCAAAGGGCACTTTCTGTGGCGAAAACGGATGATTCTCTGACGACAATACGTTTCTGGACCCTAATGGACCGTTGATGCATCACACGGCATCTGTAAGTCTGCCTTGGAAACGTGAGTTTAGGCCTCTTTGATGGGGGGCGGCGCTTGAGACTCCACGTGGCATTTCGTCAAGTTGCACAACGGGCACAATGAACTTGGCTCCTCTTAATGACCCCCATCCATTATACATAGATCCCCAGGTCTAGACTTAACCCTAAGCGGAACACATCTCTATCGGCGGACCCGTGGGTGTGGTGCTCCGCGTCTATGAATCTGTCGGAGGTGCACCAGATTGCAGGGGTTCCAAGTGCAAAACATGCTTCCGCGCCCGAATATTGGCGGTCCGTGGCTGTGCTACGGGCGCCAGGCTGAGTGGGCTAGAATTCCACGTGGCATTTTTCCACCTAGAATCTGATCTATAACAAATGTTGTCATCTTGGCTGCTGGAAAGTTCCGTCGCAGCCGATGCACGGCTTGTTCGCAAATGCTGATATTGATTTGGGTCTTGAAAGAATAGGGTAGGCTAAAAATCCCATCTGGACGGCACCTGCCACGGATAAAGGTGGAGAAAAGAGACGGTGGAGAATAACTGCGGTGTGCCCGACTTAAGTGCCAAGAGTGCTTGGACCCCTGGAAACATGAGTAAGCAGCTATTCTTAAACCTTCGCCAGATGCTCTGCTGTTGAGGTCAGGGTCGCGGGAGAGGGGAAATGGATCGGCAAAAAATATCGCTCGATCAAATTCGGCAATCGTAGGGGATGTGCAGGTAGGATGGACGGGGCTAATTTGCGGTTGAATGGCGATCCAGCCTCATACTATATCATTGGTAGAGAGTTAATGTTCACGCAGCGCAGATGAGATGATCATACAGACTCTATTATCTGGGGTTGGCTTAACATGGGAACCTTGGATCCCAAATCCGAACATGGGATGGAACAGCGACCGCTTATTCGGATAGGCGCCCAAAAACATGTCCTCCTTTTCGCTGCAGCAAGAAAACCCGCCTAGAAGCTCAAATTCAAACCATCATCTTACCGAAGGCATAAACCTCCTTGATCGTGAGACACTTGGGCTGGATCATGCTTTTGACGAAGTCCGAGGTTAGCGCACTGCAAGCTATCCAAAAAGCAAACAAAAACTGTAATTTCAAATTTCAAATTTCGTCCTCTGTAGCATAGAGAGTGGGCGGTGTCAAAGGCCAAGACGGAACACTAGTAGTTTCCACAGCACTAGGGCCCGTCTACCAGCGTGGATGTAATTGACGCACATCAGGAAACGGCCAGTGAGATGATTATCAGCCAGTGGCAGTTGTTTCCCAATTGGAGCACTGACCCTGAATGGCCCTGCCTCCATACTGGGTGGGCGTAGGAGATTGGTGACCCAGTCGCTTGGGCTCCTCCTAAACGGACCTACCTTGGCTACCTGGTAGTGGCGAACTAGTGCAAGTGCTAAGAAGGAAGAAGGGATAGCTATCCTAAGGTCTAGAAGCTTGTCTGTGAAGAAGGCTTGCTCGGGCTGCTGCGTCCCGAACACGCAACCGCCCACTGGTTGCATCAAAGCTTCGAGTGGATTCAGGTCCTACATCCGTCCTGCCATGCGTCGTGTGGAGTTTGTTGTCTCAATCATTTGGGGTGACTGGTATCCGCTACAAAAGCAAAAAAAGAGGGTGTGTTTTGCCCTGTTCTGAGTTGTGCCCAATATTGGTCGAGCAAAGGCGGCAGCAAGGTACCTAGTGAAAAGTACCTGGAAAGTACTTCGGAAATACGACTTACCTTATCCCCAGCTAGCACGCATTGGGGTTCTTCTCGGTTTAGCAGCTTCCGGGCTGTTCCAATGGATGTTATAGCCCTCTCATGCAGCCACTACAGACAGTGGGTAGATATCTCACGTGGCACTTGCCGCTTCGTTGCAGATGAGGACGCGGCAGCCCCCAACAGCTTATTGCTGTGAAGACCTGAGTGTGAGACAACAGCTTCCACTAGCTGTGCGGTGCGGTCCTTTCTCGCCTCAAGAGTGTTGGCACGGGTGGATTTCCGCTGCCCACTCCTCCCAGAGCCAGGCGGAGCGAGGATGCAATTTCGAAAATGAGATGCCATATCCCAATTCGCCATGAAAACTGCTAGCAGACAAGGACAATTTAACTTTTCGGACAGCCCGACTAGGTAGATGCCTGAATTTGACGCAATGAGGACCCCTGAAATCGCAGGGACTAGTAGGTGGATGAGGGTGATCCGTGAGTGACATCCTGCCAAAGCGAGGACCCCACAGAGGGACTGGTAACTTGCCCTCATAAATTCGTCATTCCGCTTCAGCTCGCTTCTCGGAGGAGAAGTTGGGAAGGAATAGTTATGCTCTGAACTTTGCTTTCTGGCCGTCTCTTGGGAATATGCTTATTGGCATAGCAGGCGCTATATCCAAACCGCAAGCACCCATACACATTTTTTGTCTGTGTAATTGCTCTTTACCCTGAACTGCTTTCAAATGCTAGAAACGGAATCTCTAGGTGGGTTGTAATAGGTAAGCGGTACCTGTTTGTCGATGCTTGGTGCCATCCAATGCCTGAGGGCTTCCTTCCTGCTACGGCGGACAGAAAACTGTCATCCGCCTCAGCTACTCCTTCCCTGTGTACAACGAACTCTCCTTCTCACCCGTAGCTCATGCGATGCTCAAGTTCATTGGAATCCAATATGTCTTCGCCAACCACTCACTCTCTTCTCTCTTTTCTTCCGTTGCACCACCCGCAGCGTCAAACTCTCTCGTTTGGCTAGACTCCATGACCGGTTTGCAGTGTCCTGGCACGTCGAGTAACAAATGAGAGTTGTCTCTCTCTTCGCCTTACAATCAGTTGCCTCCACCCAAGAATCCAAGAATTCGAAAGATACACTCTCTCGTCATGTTTTCAATTCTTGAGACGATTACGCCAGTACTCTACTGTCTCTACCCAGTTGTGGCTCTGCTCGGCTTCCTGTTTGCCTTCTTTACCTCTGATGGGATTCCAGGGCCTGCCTACAACAAAAAGACCATCATTCTTTTGCTCAGTGTTTTTTCGTGTACCCAATTTGCTCAACTTTCTACAGTCATACTCCAGAGCTACTTATTCCCAAACTTTGTCGCCCCCGAATATTTCGTCATCGGCACTGTCTCCTGTTTTTCCCTGTCGATTCTACAGATAGATGGCCTTCTCAACAGTTCCACCCCGGACTGGTACTCTTTTCGCTTCTCATGGATAACCGCGATTCCTTTCGAGATCAGCATAGCGCTTCTTTCGATCTCAACGTCAACTTCAGCATGGCCCTCTCTTCCAGACCCCACTAGGGTAGCCATCATATGTCTGGCAACCTCAAGAAGCCTCCTGCTCTGCGTTCTTGTTTCCCCTCGCAATACATGGTGTGGATTCAACTCCGATCATACGTCAATAAGCGATGACGAAGAACATTTTCTGCTTCCATCTGGAGACCCGACCCCAAGAGACATCGACAACCGTACTTCGAGGATGCTTAACGGCCCCATCTATGGATCAATCAGGGAAATAGACAACGGCCGAGGGATCGCTTCAGAGACCAATGAAAGCGACGACACCGAGGAATCGATTTTTGATAGGGATCCTTCAAGCAGTGCCTGGACCCGGAATGTGAAAGACTTTGTGGTATGTCTATAATCACCCTCTCAAACCGCTGCAATGATCTAACCACCCCTTTTTAGAAGCTCACCCGCCTTATCAAACCCGATGGTCTCCGCCGACTTCAAATTCGAGCAATTAGCGTTATCATCGGTCTTCTCGCTTCCACTTGCATAAACTTCCTAGTTCCTATCCTGACTGCCCGTGTCGTGAACGAACTATACAGCAACGACACCGACGCACCATGGGCTGGGGTTATGATTTTGTCTGCTCTCTGCTTCTCCGGCTCTGCCATTACATTAATCTGCGAATACCTCTGGATTCCCTTCAAATGCTTCATAAAGGAAACTTTAAGCCGAAAGGCTTATTCGCATTTCCTTCACCTCTCCTCTGATTTCCACAACGCGGAGAACATTGCCGAGAAGACAACCTCGCTCCAGGGTGCAAATGTGATGTCAGAAGTTCTCGAATTTTCCTTCCTCCGATTCTGTCCATGGCTTGTGCAGTTATGTTCGGCGACCATTTACTTGTCTATCGTTATGGTACCCTACCAAGGTTTCATACTGGCCGGAAGCATGTTTATACATCTCTTTCTAACCAGCAAACTTGCTCATGAGGTTGCATGGGAAAACGAGGCACTCTCAAAGCTGTTTCAAAAAGAACAGTTGATCAGGCATAACGGATTTCGAGGATCGAAGACTATACAAGCCCTGAATCAGAATGGCTACGAAGACAATCTCCACTCTAATGCGGTATCCACACGGATGTGTCAAGTCAAGACATACGCTCAAAGACGGGGTCAAGTAGCTGGTTTCCAAAGATTCTTACTAGCCCTTGGCCTAACCGTAAGTCTATGCCATGCCATCAGCCAGGCGACGGTGGGGGCAGCAACAGTCGGACACCTGGCAATGCTCATCGTGTTCTGGTCCCAACTCCAGACCCCAATCCGCTCTCTCTCAAGGGCCGTCCAAAACACGAGCCAGGGATTTTCACAAGCTGCTGCATTCTTCAGGCTGTTGCGTAGAACACCTATCGTGTACAACAGGCAGAATGCTCGACCCTTGAAGCGTATTGCCGGAAAGGTCAAATTTGACGGCGTATCTTTCGCCTATAGTGAACAAAAGACTGTTATTGATAACGCAAGCTTTGAAGTAGCTGGCGGCGAAACCGCTTACATTATTGGGGACAAGGGATCAGGAAAGTCAACGCTTCTTAATCTTCTTAATCGATCATTCAATGTAACCAAGGGCGCCATTCTCATTGATGGCCAAGACATTGGTGATGTCGACCTTTTTAGGTGAGTATTCATACTTTCAGTAGTCTAACTTGGGTCAGCTACTGATGTTTTTTCTAGTCTACGAGATAGGGTCGGAATTCTTTCAGACACGTGTTATATTTTTGATGACACTATCTCGAACAACGTGCGATATAGTCGTGTCACAGCAAGCGACAGCGAGGTATTCCGGGCCTGCAAGGCGGCTGTCCTTCATGACGATATTCTACGGTTCCCTCAAGGTAACTAGCATGCTTGCACCGTCTCAGTACACTTGATAATAACCTTTTGTTCTAGGGTATGCGACAGTAGTTGGCGACAATGGCATGTGAGTAGGATTGCCCCTTCAATTTGGCTTAGACTAACTGGACATCAGAAAACTCTCGGTTTCTGAGGTACAGAAAATTGCGATCGCCCGTGAGTTCTTACGGGATCCAGATATCCTGGTTCTAGATAACGCAACAAGTGCTTTGGATCCCTCCACAGAGCAACGAATAATGGCTTCTCTTACAAAGCGCAAGCGAACTACCTTTATTATCCAGTGTGTACACTCTCTACGGGTTAATTTTAATATGACGCCTAACTGTTTTAGTCGTGATCTCGCAAAATCCCTAGATGCTCATCAAATCTTGGTAATCGAGAATGGTCGGCTAGTTGAGGACGGGGCTCCCAGAAAGTTGATGCTCGGTGATGGAAGATATTCCGCTCTCTGGTTAAAGGAAAACAATTCATCAAGGGATAATGCTCTGTGTGGTACTAAGTTCTTGAAAGATGCCCGATCTAGCTTACCTGAACAACCAATTCAGGTTGCCGGCCACTGTGGTTCGTTGGCAGGCGATGACAGGCCTTTCATGACTGCGCCCTCGACTCCTCAGCATGTGAAAGAAGTACACTACATGATCCAATATTGGTGTATAGGCGAATCTAATAGGTTACAGGGTTCGAGACTTAATCCCATCGCCCCAACATTCACGCCCAAGGCGCCAACCCCCCGCCAGGCGGCTGCAAGAAAACGAAACGAAACGAGCACTGAGGATTCTGTCACTGGAACAATCAGTAAGCCGGCCAGCTCTCAAACCAGTCGTCAGTGGTCCGATGAGCTTGAAGAAAAACCAGACCATGGCGACGATATCGTGCGATCGCAGACCATCAATGACGGGACATCCAGTGACCGCTCAGGGGGGGTGCTGATTTTGCAATGCCAGGGAAAAGATGAGGCTGTTTCCCCAGCTCACATATTGTCTGAATCGAAAGCCCAGATAGCAGGAGGAGGCGCACAACAGACACTAAGTAGGTCAACGACGAGCTGTTGGGAAGCAAACAATACTAATTTACCACAGCCCCTGCTGCTGAGCCTCGTAGATCACTGGCTGATGAGAGCGCGGATCAAGTTCCCCAACTGGAAAAGTCACAATTCAAGTGCCCGCGGTATTCTCGTCGAATCCAGTCCAAAAGTGAACCATCCCACGCGGCGGAGAACACGGAGCCTGAAGAAGGACAGATAATACGGACCCAAGATCAATCAGTGAATGAACCAGTAAGAACGGTGACTCTTGGTCCTTGAAGGATATTTAACTCATTGCTTAGTCTAACCGTCGAGTTTCTGCTCCTCTGCCACACCCCAAGTCAAACATTCCGAGGTTCAACGCCGTGGGCAAGGCTAAAGCTCAGACTGCTGTGACACCCAGCCCCCAGCCTCCGGCGGATCTAAAGGTCGAACAGAGACAGAAGGGAAAACCAGAGGCCACAACAAAAACTACCCCGGAGAGTGCTTCCACAATGCAACAGCCAGTACTCGAAGACAGGCAGGGCAAAGAAACAACGAAGCCGGATCCAATTACTGCCAGTTCAACTTCATCCCCGAGCCGCGCTGGCCACCGCGGCGGACGGCGTGGTAGGGGCTATTGGCGCAACCGACGTGGAAGAGCCACGAGGGGAGCCTGAATCAGCAAACGGTGGGCAGTGGGCAAACTGGCCCCAATTCTGAGATCGATATTATTGTGATATGAATAACAGTTTTGGGATGAAGAGTTGATTATAGTATGGATATGCAGCAGTGGAGACATGGCATAAGATAAACCACTGGCTTTATGGTTGAGCTTTTTTTGGGGCCTGGAACACACACACAGGTCGACACGACGTTTTGGCAAGAATATCACATATGGGGGGCATGTACCTTATCGTAATGTCGTACTTCATAATTCACAGCTTCCCCTGTTGCTTCAATGCTTTGAAAACAGTTAAGCTACTCTTTTTATCAATGTTTAAGATGGACCTGAACGCTCAAACGATCCTGTCGGCCAACACACGCTATTTCTATTGTGAATTAGGTCCCTGAGAGTTGTTGGGACCACCACCTGGGGCTCCAGGGCCACCGCCACCCATCATATTACGAGCCCTTGAGTCAATCGATGTTAGTCTGCTGCTGCTGTTCTTCTGTCTTTCAAGTGGGAAGAACTTACATATCCGCAATTGCGGGGTCAGACATCAAGCTGTTGAGGTCTGGCATGCCACCGCCGCTGCTGAACTGGTTGGCCATGTCCCGCAGCCGAGGGTTGCTCATGAGGTTGTTCATCAGGTCGGGGTTGCTCATGAGGTTCTGGGCCATGTTGGCGAACATGGGGTTGTTCATGATGGAGCCGAGGTCGGGCATGCCGCCAGCACCGCCAGCACCACCGGCGCCGCCGCCGAGCATGGAGGCGAGGTTGCCAAAGTCGAGGCCGCCGGGGGCCCCTCCCGGGGAGCCGCCGCCGCGGGAGAGGTCGGCGGCCTCCTCCCTCTCGATCTCGTCGACGCGGCGCTTGGCGGTCTCGAAGCCCTTCTTCATGGCGTCGCTGCCGCCGTTGCCCTCGTGCTCGATTCCCTTTGCGTAGGCCTCCATGGCGCCCCTGGCGTCGCCGAGGGCGAAGCGGGCGAGCCCCAGGCGGGACCAGGCCTTGGTGTAGGCCGGGTCGATGGCGACGGCGGCGTCGGCGTCGGAGCGGGCGGAGGCGTGGTCCTTGTTGGCGGAGTGGGCGGCGGCGCGGTTGGAGAGGAAGACGGCGTTGCGGGGGTGGATTGAGAGGGCCTGGGTGTAGAGGTCGATGGCGGACTTGTAGTCCTTCTGGGCCATGGCGGCGTTGCCCCTGCTCTTGAGGGCGTCGGCCTCCTTCTTCTTCTCGTCCGAGGGCTCTGGGATGGATGAGGAGGCAGAGGCGGACGAGGAGGCTCCCGGGGTGGTCTTGTTCTTGAGGGTCTCGTAGACGGAGTAGATCTGCTCGAGGTTCTGGCCGCCGAGGGTGGAGGCGGCGGCGGGGTCGACCTTGAAGGACTCGGCGATGCAGTTGACGGCGATGTCGATGGAGTCCTTGTCCTCGCCGGTCAGGGTGCCGTCGGTGGCGGAGGTGTTGAGGAAGTCGCAGATGGCGAGCGCGAGGCGCTGCTTGGTGGACTGTTGGGCCTGGGCGGTGGTGGCGGGGTGACCCCCCATTGTGTTAGCCAGGGGATGCTCTTCTCCTACGACACGTCTCGGGGAGGGACGACGAGGTTCAAATTGATGCTTACCATGGCGGCGGGAGGAGCACTGACGAGTGCGAGGGGGGAGAGAAAGGCGAGGGGGATTTGCTTGGGCGGCGGGGTGTTTGCGACGAAGAAGGACACCGAGCTGGAGATTTTGATGGGAAAAGCGAAGGGCTGCCCCACGGTGGATTGGAGGTGGAGGTGGACGGGCCCAGAAGGTTCTTGCGGTGGGCGCAGGGGTCCGTCCACCATGTGCTTGGTGCCTGTTCGGGCATCTATCTGTCTCTGTCTCTGTCTCTGCTGCACATCATTATCATGCCGCGTGGCTCGCGAACAGAGCTCTGCATTGCATTGAGTTGCCACCAAGTCAAGTGGCTGCCTTGTCCAAGACTCGTGTTTATGCTACTCACTATTCCGCGTGATTATTCGCTGCAGAGTTAGCACGCTAGAATGGTGGGTGTAATATGCGCCCACCTCGCATCAACTTCAAACCAACTCAAGCTTGAACCAACATGTTGAAATTAGTGGGCATTATCCTTGACGAGCTGTTTTCATAATCTCTATTCACACGCAAGACAACCATGTTCGCCTCGATCGCTCTGATTTATCCCAAACTCCAGTCCCATGATGCTCGTGTCCCCAAGTTGTACAGGTTTGAATCTCGTCTTCGTGTACTTCACTTCCCTCTCCTCCGCCTGTCCACATTCTTGACGCGGCGGTTGCCCATCGCCGCGACCTTGCGGTGCTTGGAGTAGAGCCTCACCACGTCCTTAATCACGACGAAGAGGCACCCTCCGATAAGACTGCGGCCCCACTGGTGCTGCAACAGCCCCGGCCGCAGTGAAGTGGTCCAGGACTTGGGGAGCAGCAGCCGTAGCGCCTCGCCAACCGCAAAGGAGATGCCGGGGAGGATGAGAGCGCTGACGAGAGCGTTGGACATGTTGGAGAGGATGGTGCCGAGCCCTGGGCGGTGCGCTGGTGGTGGCTGGGCAGCCTCTCGGTGGTTGGCGGCGGGCTCCTGGTCTGCTGCCTGCTGTTCGGCCGGCTCGGCTTGGTTTGGAGCCGGGGGTTCGTTATGTGCATCCTCATGTGCTTCGACCGGCTCGTCCTCATCGGGGAGCAAGATGTCATCCTCACCCACGTCAGCGTAGTGGAACTCGAAGATGACTTGCTCTTCGGGAACCGGCTCCTCCACAATCTCAATCTGCGGAAGCTGAGCCTGCGGACGCGCTTCTTCTTGCTCCTCCTCGTCCGGGTCTAGAGCATCCAGTAGAGTCTGCAGAAAGCCGACGACGCCGCCCTCGGCGTTACGCTCGCCGTTTCGGCCGTTATCTCTGCCTCTTTCGTTTCGTCGGGGCTCGGCAGGGGGGAGGCCGAGGATTCGGCGGTTTAGGTTAACTTCGTAAGGGAAGACAAATTCCCGCCAAAGGTTGTAATAGATTGACCGCACGTAGGGGAAGACGGCGATGGCCAGTTGCGGTGATGGCGGCCATGTAAAGAATTCGTCGTCATTCATGACATGGTAGATGCCATACTAGGAGGCACCAGTTAGCTATGAATCTAAGAGAGCCCAAATGAATACCACATACCAATGAGCCCATAGGGACAAAGAGCTTGTTCCCGAGTCCGGGGATGAGCTGGCCGATGAGGAGAGCCGGGGCGATATTCATCAGGACGGCAGCATTGGTAATCCTCTCAACCTTGGATGAATGTGACGATATGCCACCAAAGGGCTGGTTCGGGCCTCCCAGCATGTAATCGACGAGCGCATCCTTACCCGAAAACAACCACATGGCCATGGCGCCATACATCTGCGAGCTGACCTGGACGCCCAGGGACAAGCCGGTGACGAGCAGGAACGGGCTGGCGCGGGTGAAGCGGCGCAGCACAGCATCGTGGAAGCTCACGACGGGGTCCCAGGGCCCTTCCATGCTGATGGTGGACTTGCAGACGGGGCACTGGAGCGGCTTGTTGGAGCGCTCGCAGTCGACAACCCACGAGAGCATGCAGTCCTGGTGCGCCTCGAGCGTGCACGGGCACGGGTCGACCCAGGACGAGGGGGGATCGGTGGGCTCCTCATCGTTGAGGCAGATGAAGCATCGTCGGGGGGCGTCGAGGGCTCGCGGGCTCGTCGCGGCTGCCACGGCGTTGGGTGCAGAGGCGGGCTCGTCTGCGGGAGGTCGCGTGCTGGTGCTGCCTGGATCCATGGCGGGCAGGCGGAAGAAGAGCTTGGGCAGTCTATCTGGTTCGTCGCATGATAGTGTGGAGGGGAGAGCGCAAAGGGCAGTGGCTTCTGCCGCTCGCAGGTCGGGCGAGGCAACGATACGTTGAGGTGTGGTGTCGAGCTGCCTCGGCTCTCTCTGCCTGAGTTGGAGTGACGGATCTCTTTGTTTCTCGCTCGTCCCGCCGTGACTAAGAATAGATACGTACCGGCCAAAGATCGTGGGTTGGGGTAATTGAGATGGTGGGTCGACAGTAAGTAGCTATTAAGTACACAGCCGAGCAGAACTGCGGAGAAAAGGCGATCGGATACATAAAAGTACTTTTCTCGTGGCCTTATCCCCAGCTCACCTTGTGTTCTAGCCAGGCTCAACTCAAGAGGTACAACTTCAGGGCTGTATGAGATCAAATGACTGGGAGTGTATACATATTTGCGTTTCGAAGTCTTCAATGAAAAAGCCTCATTGAACTACAACTAAGCAGTTAGAAGAGCCGGACAAGATCATGTGTTGTGGATCAACCACCTAGGATCGCTCTCTTTGTGTCCATGAATTATCGGATAACTTCTTTGATATATGAGTAACACCAAATAGATTTTATTATAAGTGTTTTGAATTTTATAAGTGTTTTGAAGTTTCATGTTCTTAAATTAACTCCTGAAGTCTGTATTGAGACGAGCTCATTGGCTGGCTGGGAATTGCAACTTTTCTCACCCCATGCTGTGTAACTGAACTGGACAGATCGGTAGTTCAGATGAGCCAAAGAAAAGAAATTATAAATACTAGGGTATGCAGAAGGTTGTTTCTTCTTATCTCTTACAAATTACCTTCCCTTGACAATTTATTCGTGCAACGCCCTCTTTGCAATGGCCAGGCGAAACTCTCAACCCGCGTGGAGAGTCGCGGTCGTTGAATTGGTTTGGTGTGCATTTATGTACTACTTCGTCTACCTTCCACCATTGAGAGATCTTACAGAACGGCTCACAAGATTTGATTCGGCCGATACGCCTTTTATTCTCACAGCCGTCCAAGTACCGATGTAAGTGCGATTGGCTACTGCATACAGAAATCGCCAAAGAGTCCATCTAAGTCGGCCTTAATGCTTGCAGCGCTGCCTTGTGCGACAAAACCGAATGCGAGATATCGCTCTGGGCCACTGTCATTCAATACCATGCCGCTTCTGCGTTTTGCAAAGCGGGACCCAACACGCATCCTCTCTTCATGCTCGTTGGCCAAATGTATGCGGGAATATGTGCAGCTAGCATCATCTATGGGTATAACTTCCTATTCTCCTCAATGAACGTATGAGTTAATGACTGATGGTGTCCCTGTTAGGGCTTGGAAATGGATTTTTGACACGATGATCAAGGCGGCTATGGAAATTAAGCTGTTGGCGCAGGGAGGGTAGCCAGAACTGGCTGAATTTGTATCCTAATGATCAAACGCAGCATGACCATTAGTGCTGAAAGGATTCAAACAAAATACGAGGTGGGAATGGAGGACTAAGAGGCGTTATTAGATGCCGTTATTCCGTTGGTTTGTTCTCCCTCCTAAAAGGAATAAAAAGCTACCAGTAGCTAAGGTAGTTCTTGCCTTCCGATAAATGCACTTCTCTTTATTATGGTCCTATTATTGAAGTAGTAAATTACCATCTGCCCCCGGTGCTTTTAGATACCGAAAAATCTCTCGATCCCAGCTTTTGGATGCAAAGTAGATTGTAGTTCTTCCATCGGATTCAGCATCTTTACCATCAGCTCCTATTGCGAGAAGCATCTTATAAAGTGTGTACAGCTGTTAATTATCAGCCTCGACGGAAGAGCATAAATTGACTTGTTTTCGCTGTGTCAATGCCGCCAAATAGCTCATCCCTGGGTATAGAAGATATGCAGGCCAAGTCCCCAGCTAAAGCGTCACATTGTTGCTACTGAAGCGGTAGGCCGGGTCACCAAAAGATCATAGGAGGCTGAAACATGACGATTTCGATGGACGAGAGCAGCACACGGCGGTCCAGAGCAGTTGTGGACCGGCATCGAGATGCTACAGGCTTCTGGCAAGATCAATACGAACAAGGGGTAGAAGAATCCAGGGTCAAAGATCAAGATCGCCTCAAACATCTTCGCTTAGGGAGCTATGAATGTTCTCCACCGCATCAAACAAACAAACAAACTCAAATGGAGCCAACTCTGGATCCTCAACAAACCAACGCACGAAGCGTATCTCACAAGACCTTCCTAGCCGCTCGCTTCGCATCCTATCAACTCCTCCTCGTTGTGTCATTGTTTATTTTTTAAGCTTTCTAGCTGCATGATTTACTTCGCCCAGCCAACCTTCCCAGAAGATTTGGCAGCAGAGCCCGCTGAAGCTTGTTTTGATGGATTTCATTCAGGTACAAAAGACGGCGACGCCGCCATGGAAAGATCCAAAAAGTACCTGCATTGTTTTCACCGTCCATTCTTCTCTTCATAAAATCCCCTCTCACGTGTCACGGTCAGTAATCGCGTGAGAGATTTGATGGGTTATTCCCTATCGACCTGAGGCAGAATGAGCAAGTTTCCAGCAGGGTCCCTGCCATCGCCATGGATATATACGAGGGAACGAGTCCATTTCAATGTCTCTATGGCCCGGATCATGGAGAGTTTTGGCAAGATAATGATATCGCGAAGGAGACTAGCTCACGTCGTTCTCTTGGTGGCCGAGTTCTGCGTCACCAGCACCGCCTGGGCACTATGTCTCTGGGGCTATCCGGACCGGTTTCGCTCCAGGCTCTGGGAGAACGGAGGCGCTCAGGGATGGAACTCGGACCCGAAACAACGGATCTACTACTATGCCAACTACGAGGAGCCGCCTGAGGTGCCCTTGATCTGGTCGCAGAGGTAAGAGGCCGGTTGCACTTGGCTCCGTCATCTTCCATTCTATGTACTGACAGCGAACAGGTTGACAGACTCACATCTCTGCATCGCGGCTCTCTCCCTCATCACCTGCGCTATTCGTGTTGGGTTGCAGCCGCTGGGATACCTCCCCCGTGCTGCTTCTATCGTTTACGACATCCTACTTTACTCGCTCTGGGTATGGATTCTGGTGGGACAGAGGTCGGGAGACTACTCAGATTCTGTACACCCATCCCCGTATCCCTGGTACTTGGGACGCTCCTGTAGCGAAAGCTGGAGCTCGACGAGACTTGCGTGCCATGTGGCTAAGGCGAACTTTGCCCTATCCATCATTGCCCCCCTCATCTACGGATGCCGCCTGGCCCTCGAGGCAATGATAGTGACTTGGGAGAGGCAGTGTCGGAAGAAGGATAAGGATTTGCAGGTGTTAGTGAACGGGGAGCTATACACGGATGGTGAAGAGATGGATATTATCGACGAGGAGCAGCAGGCGCGACAGATATACGAGGCGGCGCTGAGCCCGGTCCTTGCATTCTTCCCAGAAACCGCACGATAGACGAGTTGGAAACGAATATGTCATGATTCACGTTGGATAAGTATATGGACGGGGCCAATATGGTATATTGCTACTCAGTCTCTAGACCCCTTCGATTTCATCTTAGTCCCAGTGTTCCCGTCCCATAGACTACCACAAAGGAGGGTGATATGTCTTTTAGAAAGAAAAGACCGTTGAATTCTCGAACCCCAAATACTCCGTTCTCGCAAATCCCTAGTTCATGCCGGATCGGCGGCCATAGCGACAGATAGTCGGTGGCATTAGAGCCATTTATTTGTGCTTCAAAGGGACGTGGTTAGCAAATCCAACGTCACATAGCAGAATTCGATGGCCAGGAAGATGGTGTAGACTTACAGGGCAGTTGGCACAAGTGCAGCCAGAGCCACAGTTGCAGGAGCCGGACGAGGAGCAGCCGCAGTCACCCATGATGAAGGTTGGTTGGTTTGTAGTTGCAAGGTTTTTGGTTTGGTAGTGGTATTGGTTATAGCTTCAAGGAAGGCACTTTGAGTTGGCAGTAGTGGTGTGATGATGAAAGGTTGATTGGAGATGACAACAGAGGAAGCCCGAGTTTAAATACCTGGAGAGGGGAAGTAAGAGGGGGAGGACCTTCCGTTCTTATTCTGCGTCCTTACCTAATGAGGGGACAAGCAGGCGAGATGCGCACGATGCTTTTCGCGGGGAAGGAGCAGTCAGTGCAGCGGGATTTGTGCCTTCCCGCCCTGTGGCAATGCCAATGACGTCGTGGGCATGTCGATGTTGCTCAGAGTTTCTGCAGACGGCGAAAACCCCTCGAGCGCGATTGGGGTAGAATTAGCGCCACACTGGACAATCGAGCTCCTTCTCCAATCGCAAAAGTCTCGCAGGTATCACAGAGTTCGCGTCGGGCGTGGATGTTTCCATGGCTTTCCCTGATTCAGATCTTCTCAGTACGAGAAGGGAGGGTCTCCGGCCGGGCCTGTCGCTTGGCGAGAGCATGTTTGAGGCAGAATGTTTCAGCTTGCCGTCCCCATTGCATAAACCTTGCATGCCAGTCAGATATCAGTCCCCGATGTGTGAAGACGCCCGAGATCACATTAGCTGGGCATGTGGGTGACATAGGAAATGGCACACCCAAATGAAGACCCAAACTAATCATATAAATAAACACCCTTATTTAAGTAGGTTATTATAAATAGAGATTAGAGAATCTTAATATTTAGGCCTGAATATTCTATTGCTTCAATCTTATTTCAGTATTTCTATAGCTACCTAGCTATGAAACATAACAGATCAAGCATGTATTAAGGGACTGCTTGGGTGTGCCATTTCCAATGTCACCCACATGCCGGGCCAAACAGCTTCCGGCTTACTTGCAGCCATTGCACAAGTAGACATATCATTTCTGAAAGTTCACCGCTATTATTGATCTTCTAATTCTGTAACTACTAGGAAACAAATAGAGCTGACCTCCGCTTCCTTTCGTGTCACACCAATCACAATGTCTCAGCACCCTGCCACATGATCTATGCCCCGACTCCAGCTTTGTCTCTCAGCTCAGATCAACATGAGACAGGCCCCTCACTTGGTCTTTTTGGCCCTTTCTGGCAGCTTGGGCCACTGGCTTTCGTCGGTGACATCGAGGACTTTCTCGTCGTCCTTCTCGACACTCGGCAAAACTTCCTGGGTACGGTTCCCATCGAGAAATTCATCCCTCACGAGTGCAGCTCCAAGAACCGAGGTGATGATAGGCCGGGGTAACTGCCCACCGATGGCGTACCACACTTCCTGGTAGGCAAAGGTCAAGGCCTCTTTGAGAAAGCGACTGATGTCGAAGGTGCCCGAGTCGCTGAGTCCGTGGGCCCTGACAACGTGCTGCCGGCATCGAACGTACACACCCACTGCCCAGAGAAACGACCGCGTAGCTTGGATCGCCAGGTTGGCGGTCAGCCAGTCGAGGTAGTAGCGAAGCCCCCCCGTTTGGGCATCTGTGTTGGCCCCCGGCACCTCGGCGAAGACGCGGATGAGGCCGACGACCTTGGCATTCAGGCGGAGGATCCCAATGGGAATGTCTTGCTTGATCAGTTGGAAGGCTGGCGGGATTGGCATCGTCGGATCGATGCCGCGCGGCCAGACTCTTCGAAGAGTGTACCAGGTGCCACTGCCCTGGCCGTGGTCAAAATATAAACCCCAGCTGAACTCTTCATTGCGGAAGCCGTGGGCACATTGGAGCTCGTAGTTTGTGACGTCAAAATCCGGGGGAAGATGGGAAGGATATGGAAGGGTGCTTGGTCTTTGGTATGCGAGTAGAGGTGGGATAGAAATAGTGATGTACAGGGTGCCAGATCGCTGAATGTTAACATTGGACGCCATCCTTGCGAGTATCCAGATGGGGGTTTGCTGCTCTAGGTGGCCATGGGATTCCTAGAGTTGGTTGGAGTATCTTCGCCTGAGAGCGCCTCGAGTGTTTTGGCTCCTTGTGTTGCGGACCTGCTGGTGAGCACTTGCCTTCCCCTGCGGATTCTGCTTGCACTCTAGACTGATTTGAAAGTTTGTGCATACAAGATGGTAAGATTCGCAGTTGCGTTTATTGGGCGAGAGAGTGAAGGAAGAAAGGCGAAGCTGTCGAGGCTCTGGGGTTGGTCATGGCCGGCATCGCACCACAACACCGTCGACGGCTGCAAGCACCCGAGGTCCAGTTTGCATGTTCATAGAAGCCACTTAGCTTTGCTGTCAAAACAGTGTGCTCATGATTCAAGCCAATATTATTAAACCAGGTGGAATAACTTCACAATGTCTCTATCCGTGTTGCCTCCCCGTCTAGATAATTCCACACATTGTTCCGCAGGTGTTCAATAGAGATCAAGCCATTCACTATATACTCAAAGGATTCTCAGGCCTCACCTTAACAATAGCATCCATTTATGAATAATACAAATCTCACTTCCTTCACAGAAGTTCATCATATCCATACATTTGTATTGTAATACAATCTGTTCTGTATGTAGTCAGTGCTGGGTTTCTCCAAACAAAGGCATGTCTATTCCTGCAGTGGAACCACGGCAACCCATCCAAGTAGGTGACAGGAGAAATGAGACACCTAATGGAAGTATGGTCAATAATCGACGGCTTTCTGCAATAAATAGAGAAATTTATGAATATAAAAATAAGAATAAAGTAACAATATATGCGGCATTGTCGCTAGAGTATGTACTGTTGGGACTCAATCTGCTAATACCGGTCACAGACTTGAGAGTAAGCAGCTTAAGGTTGAGTGTCTCAATTTATAAGTCACCCACTTGCCATCCCATAAAATAAAGCTTAGGAATACGTCATTCATGCCTAGAACGAGTAGAGCATCGTAGTCTCCTTACTTGCTACAAGAGGTGACAAGGAACGTCCCCAATGCTTCATGCTATGTATGAGCCGAAAGACGCTTCTTGGCAGATTGTAGCTTGCTTTGGATAGACCTCAGACAGCTAAAGCAAGAGTGCACAGAGGAGCATATTTGAGAAAGAGTGTCGGACGAAACAACACGTGATGGCGGGCCACTCACCTCGGTGCAACGACATGCCGAGAAGCGCGTAGTGCAAGGACCAGCTCCATCGCACAACGCGGCCCAGTAGAAGGAGAGTATTCCCAGCTTTCTGAATCCCCATCCTAGGCCTGTCCCCAATGGATGCAGTTGGCGCGAGAGAGCAATCCTTGCACTGAGACTGATGGTCTTGTGAGTGATCGGCCCGACAAACCACGAGTGAGGGGCATTTTGCGGGGTACATTAACATCACCTTCTTCAATCGAGTGATGATCACGTTTGTGTGAAACGAGACGGAAGTCAACGGCTGCCTGCACAAACGTACTGGTTTTTACCTTGAAAACTCTACGATCCTTATTCTAAGCAGCATTGTTGAAACCATCCAGGCAGCCAGTGTCCTCTATCCTGAAGCAAAACACCATGGCAGGGTCTGTGCCTGTAGCAAAGGCGCTGGCCGACATTTACCCCCCAACTGCTCTGCCCACGCAGCTGCCACGGTGGAACGATCTTCTGCAGGGTTTCGAGAAGAAGTATGGCTACCGAGCTTCTAACGTCGCGCGCTCCCCGGGCCGCGTCAACATCATCGGCGAGCACATCGACTACTCCCTCTACGCGGTCCTGCCCATGGCCATTACGGCAGACTGCCTCCTCGCCTTCTCTGCCAAACCGTCCAGCTCGCCAGAGAGCTTCCGTATCCGCATCGCGAACGTCGACGATGCCAAATTCCCCGCGAGAGAGTTTACGTTACCGGCCGACGGTGGGTTTGAGATCGACGCGACGGTGTTTGAATGGAGCAATTACTTCAAGAGTGGGCTGCGGGGCGCATTGGAACTACTGAGGAAGAAGCGAGGTACGGATGTGAAGCTTCACGATATCGATCTGCTCATGGATGGGACCGTCCCCATTGGAGGTGGACTGAGCTCGAGCGCTGCGTTTGTGACGTCCAGCGCGCTCACGGTCCTGCTGGCCAACGGTGAGGAGAGCGTGGACAAGAAGGAGCTGACAGAGCTCGCCATTGTGAGCGAGCGTGCTGTTGGTGTCAACTCTGGAGGGTAAGTATCACGATGAGACGGTATTAGAACTTCAACTTGACATGGGACTGACTCTCCTCGCAGCATGGACCAATCAGCCTCTGTGCTTTCTGAGCAAGGCGCTGCCTTGCTCGTGTCCTTCAGCCCCAGCCTCGAAGCGAAGCCCATCAAGTTCCCACCTACGCACCCCGAGCTCTGCTTCCTCGTAGCTCAATCCTTCGTCACATCGAACAAGCAAGTCACGGGTCCGGTGAATTACAATCTCCGCGTAGTCGAGGTCAGCATCGCGGCCGCCTACTTAAATGCCGTGCTCAACCCCCCAGGCACGCAGCTCCCCGAAGATGCTGGGCCACTCGGCATCAGCCTCCACGGGTTCCACGATAACTACTTTTACCACCAGACCACGTCCGACCTATCTGCGCCGAAGAGCATCAGCAAGGAGGAGGAGCTGAACAGGCTGATCGCCGTGGTCAAGGAGACCCTGACGCAGGAGGACGGATACACGCGGGAGGAGGTCGCCAAGGTCCTAGGAATCAGCGTCGCGGACCTCGAGAAGCGGTTCATGTCGAAGCTGCCGGTGCGGGCGGAGCGCTTCAAGCTGCGCCAGCGCGCGCTTCACGTCTTCTCGGAGGCGCTCCGTGTGCTCCAGTTCCTCGCGGTGCTGGACCGGTCGGTTGAGCCCGGGGCGACGGACACGACGGCCTTCAACCAGGAGCTGGGGAGGCTCATGAACGAGTCGCAGGAGTCGAGCAGGGTCCTGTACGAAAACAGCTGTGCGGAGCTGGACCAAATCTGCGAGATCGGGCGTGGAGCCGGGGCGTACGCCAGCCGACTGACGGGGGCCGGATGGGGTGGATGCACGGTACACCTGGTGCCGGCAGATAAAGTTGCCAATGTGGAGGAGGCCCTGGAGCGCGAGTACTACTCCAAGAGGGAGCTGTCGGGCGAGCAGAAGGAGCAGGCGGTCGTGGTGAGCAGGCCTGGCCACGGGAGCGCCGTCTACGTCGTCCAAGATAAGGTGGTGTAGTGTGCATGATTTCCACGTCTTGGCCCTGTTGCCCAGGAGAGCAGGTGAAGCGGATGTGCCTAGGCTAGAGGAGGAAAGTCAAAAGGGGCTGGAGTCACCAAGCGGCTGTGTCTATCTCTTTTGCTATCTAGAGAATTTATCATCAGCATCAATCATCCCAGGGCTAGGTCCACGAAGCATCCAGCGACAGCCCTGTTTGCTTTGAGCTAAACACCCATACCCAAGGCCCCGAGTATGGATGAGTCTAGCCCGTAGAGCGCGCCATGGGCGAGCTATTCGCGATTACTACCAACCTTGACTGGGCTTGCTGCTTATCATACCTTGCTCCATATTCCACCAACCTTATCGCCAAGATGGGAATGATTTTACATGCAGTCGCCGGGCCCATCTCCGTCCCCTGTAATGCATCCTAGCATCCAGTGCAGAACAGTCAAGTCCCGGATTGCCTCCCAACACCAATAGTCCAGCCATGATGGTGAGCGAGGATCAGGGGACGACAAACAACGACCTCATCATTGCGGTCAGCGAGCACGCAAGAAAGCCGGTGTGGCAGGAATGAAAGTCAAAGGGGATCCAGGGGGGGTGAGGCGAGGTGATGTGAGGTTCCACCCTCCCCTCCTTTTCCCATCTGCTGTGTGACGATGGGCAAAGTCCTGTGGCGTCTTGCTCTTATCAGCACGCTCAGCCCAGCCCGCTGTTGGCCAGGAATGCTGGTCCAGCCCGCGAGCAGAGAGGCTTATTCGAGGCGACTACTCCGTAATTCTTGACTGATTGGCATGGCAGGCCCGGGAGGGTTGGCAGTATTGTCCGACAGAAAGGCCGACATTGCATCGGCGGTGCAGTGATGGCTGTATTTCTCGCAGCGCTTCGTTTCTTTTTCCTGCATGGCGGTGATGGTGCCTTTCCATCCGTACCTACATACACCCCCGAGCTGCCTCGCTACTGGCGGTGTGCGATGCTCTCTGGAGAGACGTGCCGCGTGCTAAAATGCCTTATCAACTACTGATACACCCCTCAAGTACCGAGACTCATTCACACATGCATCAGACGGCTATACCAACAACCTGCGAGGTAGCAAGATCCCAGGTCCGCGTAGCAATCAACAGCGCCGTGGTTGTACTTTCTACATCTGCGAGAAGAGAGAATGTACACGTACCCGACATCAGGCTCTCGTATGCATGTCTCTTCGAGGGTTGTGTTTTCTTTTAGATAATAGATATATGCCGGTGCTTTAGCCTGGATGCCCAGGTATGCACATGATTCTGAAAGCGCTGCTGATTGAGTCGCCCAGGTACATGCTCGTGACGCTCAAGAGTGGACCTGGACCACCCAGGGCTTAGATTCTCTCGTCTCCCTCAGACACAAATGAGTTTATATTACCACATCTTGTATCAGAATCACCGCCGGTCCAGCGGCCATCTCGAACCCGGTTGGGCCCCTGCAAACCCGGATGCACTCGGCCTCGGTGCTCAATCGTGTGTCATGGAAATCACGGCCCAGCTAATAGAGGGACTAATAGAGAGCTACGTGAGTAAGCACAAAGACTAATGGTGTGTCGGCACGATCCCAGAAAACGTGGGGGGGACGAATCCGATACGTAAGGCAGCACGGTACTACCGCTGTACCTGTCTATCGGCCCCAAGCCATTGCGCTGGAGAATGCCACCGTCCTATCGCTGCATCCGGCCTCCCATTGGTCCAGGCCCACCTTCTTTCCGCGACGCACAGGACCATTTTAGATACCGGGCATTCTGGAGTCGCAGTCTCTGGGGGCTTTGTCT